CTCGGTCTGCTCGGACTGGGCACTGCGCGCGCGTGTGTGTGTGTGTGAGTAGTGCGTGTGTGTGAGTAGTGCGTGTGTGTGTATAGAGGGGTGTGTGTGTGTGTGTGTGTGTCCCCACCAGCCACGGTGAACCCTTCTCCTATTTTCTTTCCTCGCCCTGGCCCTTCCTGATAAGAGAATCACTTTGGCCCGCTCACCGCCGCCCCGCCATCTTTCTCGGAATTTCTCTTCCAGTGTGTGTGAGTGTATATACATTTGTGTGTGTGTGTGGTGTGTGTGTGTGTGTGTGTGTGTGTGTCCCCCCGGCCAGCGCGTGTTCGACAGAAGTCGTTTCGGACGAGGTTACGAATGAACCTGCCGCGCTAACCGACTGGGACGCGACGACACAGCCGGCATAGACTGATTCCGAGAGCCGTTTTCGTCGCTCTGTCTCTCTCGCACTCACGGAGCGTTCCCGTGTGGGTGCGAGAGAGACAGAGCGACGGAAAGGACAGCGCGGCGTGGTCGATGTGTCCATCTGGCAGGTGGGGCCCCGGCGGCCCGGCCCCAGGTGGCCCCAGGTGGGCCCGGGCGCGCGCCCCGCTACAGATGGCCCTTTCAGAATCGACAAATGGTTCCTAGTCTCGCCCGGGCGGATCTCTCGCGGCACTCATCAGCCCGAAACGGCCGCGCCATTCGCGCTTCGCAGCGTCGCTCTGTCTCTCTCGCACTCGTGGGTCGTCCCGGATGGTGCGAGAGCGACAGAGCGACGAGGCACAGTTCGGAAGCAGCCAGCCGCCGTCATCCCGTTCGCTTGAAGGAATTAGCCCTGTCCGCACACAGTAGTACGGCCAGGCTACACTGTAAATGTCTTACGGTGGAAGGCTGCACCAACATATTCTATGGTGGTGATTTTCTCCACAATACCAACAAAATTCCTCAGAATATCAATAAGGTACAGTGAATTCTCAATGGTATGTTACGAGGTCAGCTGCACCACCATAATATGGAACATTTTCACCATAATATGGAGAATCTTCACTGTGGCAAAAAGCTACGGAAAATCCTGTAAACAGCTTGTGGTAATTCTCCGTAGGCCCCTTATCAATATTCTCCGTAGGCTCTTACAGTATTTTCTGTAGGACCGCACAGTATTCTCCGTAGGACCGCACAGTGATCTCCGTAGGACTATACAGTCTTCGAGGTCCTACGGAGAAGACTGTGCGGATTTACAGAGAATACTGTGCGGCCCTACGGAGAATACTGTAAGAGCCTACGGAGAATATTGATAAGAGGGCTACGGAGAATCCTGGCAAAAAAATTAACAGGATTTTCCGTACCTTTTTGCCACAGTGTTCACTGTAGAACATTTAGAGTAAAGCGGCCGCTAGCGGCACTGGGCGTAGATCCAGTGGGGAGCGAAAGGACAACTCTGCGGACCCCCGGTAGCCTCCTAAAATGCAGGTAAAAAAAGGCACATTTTGCCCCTGCAAGTAAGCAAAACGTGCTACGTTGTCCCTCCCTGGGGCCGGCCCTGGATCCATCACTGCAGCGGCTCGCAGTGTAGTAGTACGATTCACCGTCGACGTGCCTCCAGCCGACCGGTTCCAAACAGCATTGCCACGCCACACGTATGGATACGCGCAGGACGATGCGCCGGCACCGGGGCGCCGAGCGCCGACCCGAAGTGCCGTTCGGCGTCGGCGCTCAGCACTTCGGTTTCGGCGCTCGGCTCGAGAGGCGGAAGTGGCCTGATTATTGCAGTCGGGCGAAGAAATCTGCTTCGACCAGGTCCAAACTAGGATCGACCGGAGAGTGCCCACAATGAAATTTCGAACCATAATTATCGGTGCCAATACAGGCGAGTCCTGCGGCCATCAAACGGAAGAGTCTCTCGCGCCCACTTTTGCCCCACATGTTGTCTTTCCCATGTCGACAAGTGCTGGAACTAGTGAAAATGTGGCCAATTTACCTCATGATTACACCTTTCTGTTCGGCGTTTTGAGGTACTGCTTTGGTAAATTATGACTTTTTGTTGTGAGAGTGAGTAAACTGTACGTAGGACGGTCGGAATGATCCGTCCTTGGTTAAGTGACTTGATAAATGCTGTTCACCACCGTCACTTACTTCAAATCATATCAAAAGTATTCGTTAAAAAATATCGAATAAAACATTCAAACATTTAAAATGTAACAAGTATATCTCTCAAGGAGGCCAAGATCATTATTGGAGTTTCTAAACTCAAGTCATAGTACAACAAGTACAACAATTGCTCCAATCAAAATTATAAAATGAATAATCAACACAGCATTTAGGACGCGCGCTGGTTTCGTGTCTCGGCAGGCTTCTCGCCTTCCCCGCCAGGGGCGCCACGGAGGGCCTCCGAACCGAAGTGCCGAGCGCTGAGCGCCGAACCGGCACTTCGGGTCGGCGCTCGGCTCCCGTGCCGGCGCATCGTCCTGCGCGTATCCATACGTCACGCCACGCCGTCTCTCTCGCACGCACCTGGCGCGCCCCGTGAGTGCGAGAGAGACGGCAACAACGGAGTCAGCCGGCCGGGAGCGCGACGCCGCGTCCCCGTCGCGGAATAAACCGATCGAGAGGATTAACCCCGACGGATTATCGAGATCCCCGCGATCCACGCTACAAGGCGATGCACAGTGGGCCAGAAGACAGGTGGAGGCGACCGAAACTCTAGACGCGTTTTGAGCCCCAGCGTCGCTAAACAGGACTCGAACCGAACGTGTGGCCCCACCAATGGATTGCTCTCCGAACGAGGAATCGATCGGTGGGGCCACACGTTCGGTTCGAGTCCTGTTCAGCGACTCTGGAGCTCAAAACGTGTGTAGAGTTTCGGCCGCCTCCACCGGTCTTCTGGCCCACTGTGCGCTGCGCTCCTAATTCCCAATTCGCCATCGAACCGCCACGCCGGCACGGCGCCGCGAGCGCACAGTGAAGCGTGGGGCCAATTTGGAGGCCGTGGATTGACACGCTTTTGGTCCTCGTCGCGTTTTTATAGGTCACGCGTCCTATAGGCTGCACAAAATCGTGTCGTTTCCATCATTTATTTTTGTATTGAGAAGGACCGTGACAACGTTGGTTGCGTAGGACGAGCGGAAGAAGTCCGTCCTTGTTTACAAGTGAAGTATACTTGCACTAAAATGCTTAGTTGGGCGCACTAGCGTACACCTAGCTGAGTGCCCAAGAATTCATAACTGAACGCACAAGCAGTTGTTGGTTAGACATATTTGTAAACGATAAAACTCCCTTGCTACAACATTTTGCTGCAGACCGTGGGAATCAAACAAAGATGACTGGAATTTCCACTCCGTCCGACAGAGAAGAAAAGAAAACGTCGGCATACGCGGAATGAATTCGGGAACGCGTGGCCGAAGAGCGAAACCAAATCTATCGCGGGCCAAGCCGGGCGCTGTCATAATCCACTCTCGATACTCTCGATACTCGCGTTACATGTTTCCACGGAACTCGGCGTTCCGTTCGAGACCCGCTCGCCGGGTGCGAAACGGCCGGGTGGATGCCAGCAGACTGATTCCGAGAGTCGTTTTCGTCGCTCTGTCTCTGCCGCACTCGTGGGGCGTCCCGTCTGGGTGCGAGAGCGACCGAGCGACGAAAACGACTCTCGGAATCAGTCTGCAGCAGCTGTCCGCTGCGCTGCAGCCGGGCCGGGGCACGGCCAGCGAGGCTAGCGTGGCAGAGGGGAATATTATTGGCTACAAAGCGGCAAAGCGCACGGCAAGGACCTATATTCCGAAGCCGGCCATAAAGTCGACCACGCGACGGCATCTTATTTCCGGACTATGACCCCGGCAATGGCGCGGCCGTGCTTCGTCGCGCCGTCTCCCTCGCACTCCCACGGGGACGCCCGAGGAGCGCGAGAGAGACAGAGCGACGGAAACGCTGTTCGGATTTGGGCCGCGGGGCGCGCCGGCAGCGCATCTGTGCGGCCGGGCGGCCGGGCCGGGGCGTGGAGGCGAAAACATGGCTGGCCGGGTTTTTATTCGGTAAGGCTGGATTTACCGCGCCCCAGGACGCGGCGCGGAATTAAAGCGCGCGAAGGGCCTTTCTTTCCTGATTCCGAGAGTCGTTCTCGTCGCTCTGTCTCTCTCGCGCCCATGCGGGACGCCCTGTGAGTGCGAGAGAGACAGAGCGACGGAAACGACTCTCGGAATCGGTCCACTGTCCCTCGGAGGCCACCTGCAGCAACGCGCCACAGACCGCCGGGCCGCCAGGCCGCCAGGCATTCCGCGCACTTCCAGCCTCTTAATGACTTTTTTGCTATCACACCGCCACTTTCTTGTACCACCATAACGAATTATTACTCTCCGTTTAAAAAAAACAACTTTGGTATTTACATTGAATAACTTTTTTTTCATTTTTTTTTGCAAAAAATGTTATTTTAGTTAGTTTTTTTTGTGTTAATCAAAGCTGACTATTGTTTTTGGCACAAGTTTCAAGTGGCGATGATCGCAAAAATGTCTCTTTCGAGCCGGAAAATGCGTGGAAAGGCTGACATCAGGGACCACACAGCGCTCGGCTAGCGCCTGACGAAGGCCGGGTGGGCCGTCCCGTTACACAGGCGTGACCGACGGCACAGCCTACCTGCCCGGGGCCCTCCGCGGCCCGAGGCAAGTTTGGCTCGAGTTACCGACTAACACCGCCCCGGTCTAGCGGCCGGGCTGTGGGTACGGGTATCCACGAAGCTTGCGTTTCTCGGTGGAGCCCTCCGCTCGTTCCGGGGTTCCGGGGCACAGTGGGCCAGAAGACCGATGGAGGCGGCCAAAACTCTAGACACGTTTTGGGCTCCAGAGTCGCTAAATGGGACTCAAACCGAACGTGTGACCCCACCAATGGACTGCACTCCGAGCGAGGAATCCATTAGTGGGGTCACACGTTCGGTTCGAGTCCTGTTTCGCGACTCTGGAGCTCAGAACGCGTATAGAGTTTTGGCCGCCTCCACCGGTCGTCAGGCCCACTGTGCGGGGCCCAGCCGGACTTAGTACCTGTCGACTTCGGGGGCACGACGCCCCTGCTGGCCGCCGCCGCGCTGGACACCAACAAGGCCACGCTGGTGGCGAACAGAGTCCAGGACAGTGTCCAGGACCTTGTCCAGGACGAGGACCGGGAGCCCGCTGTCCTCGGGGCCCCCGGCGCGCCCGGAACACCCATGGCGACGCACTGTAGCACTGAGACACTCAACCGCTCCACTGCCAACCACCACTGCCGCCACTGGGCATCACTGCACTGCACTGAACCATCCACCGCGTCCGGCGGTTGACGCACACACACACAGACACGCGGACGACGACGGACACACGCACACACTCGCGGACCGGACCGCCGCGATGTGGGACACGCGGCGCGGACGCACAGGACGCGGAAACGCGGCGAGGACGCGCTGGGGTGCGGCGCCGGCGGAGGGACACGGTCTACTGAGGGTGGAGTGGGGGCGCGCGGCGCAGCGGGCAGCCCCAGCCGCCCCGCGCAACACGCCGCGCTGCCGGCCCACGCCGCCAGGAGGCGCCACGGGCCGAGCCGGCACTGCCGCACAGTGGGCCAGCAGACCGGTGGAGGCGGCCAAAACTCCAGACGCGGTTTGAGCTCCAGAGTCGCTAAATGGGCCTCGAACCGAACGTGTGACCCCACCTATGGATTCATCGTTCGGAGAGCGATCCATTGGTGGGGTCACACGTTCGGTTCGAGGCCCATTTAGCGACTCTGGAGCTCAAAACGCGTCTAGAGTTTTGGCCGCCGCCACCGGTCTTCTGGCCCACTGTGTGCCGGGCACTGCAGCCCGCAGACTGATTCCGAGAGCCGTTTTCGTCGCGCCGCCTCGCTCGCACTCCTACGGACCACCCCCGTGAGTGCGAGAGAGACAGCACGACCCCCAGGCCGCTGCAGCGACCACCAAAGCCGGCCGAGCGCTAAGCCGGCGCGCCCAGATCCGAGCGGAGAGATTCGGCTTGTTCTGCTGAGGCTGGGAATTTCAGTGGTGGCGCGGCGGTGCGAGCCCGGGGGGTTTGTGACTTACGGAATTTTCAGATTACACCGATGCGGGGAGAAAATTGCGTGGAAGGAACATGGAGAAAGACTGTCGCATTCATTTCACAACGCCAAACAGCGGGAAAAATGAGCGAGCGTTTAAAATTTTCGCCAACTGGGCACAAGGAATGGAATCCGTAACGTATTATTACAACAAATCGAAAAAATTCCAATGCTAACGCATTGCACGGTGTTCCGGTTGTAGGAATCAATTTGAAGTCTGTCGTCTAAACGTTAATCACGTTAATTTTACCGTTATTTACGTAACTTTGAATTCTACCGGTATTTTTACATCCCCAAACCTGATTCAGTTAACACAATGACCATCTCAGTCCATCTCGCGATCTCGCGATTTACAGTGCTCATGTTCGTCAAACGAAAGTCATCCGCGTTCCGAAACCACCCCTCCCGAGTTTGTAAAGTTTGTCAAACCAACCGTCGTGCTGGTTACAGAATTGAGGAAAACATCACAGGAGAACCGCAGCCTTTAAAAGCAAGCCAAACAATCCAACCTCAGCAACAATGTAGGGGCAGTTTCAATGCGCGACTACTCGTGTTTTCAGCCTCGCGATTTTCGAAAGGGCGCAGACGCCGAGAAAATTGTTGCCAACCCCCGAAAATTAATTTATTGCGTCTTTTCTGCTACGAACTTTTTACTGACAGACTTCAAAGATGTTCCAATGTCGGGACACCGTGCGATGCGTTAGCATTGGCATTTTCGAATTTCACGGCGTTTTTATTTCTTTTTATCAGCGACTTTAAATTTTGACAGTTGGTACGATGGCACCGTGTCGTTGCCATGGAGACTATTTTTTCATGTTTTAACCATTTTCTCAGAACACAGACGATTTCTTGTCACTTTCATGAGGCAGGAGGTTTAGTTTTGAGGAGTGGCACATTTTCTCTTTGAAACGTTTCTGGAAAATGTGAACGGATAAGGGTGCTTGATTGTTGCAAATTTATGTTTTAGTCGTTCACGTTAAATTCTCACGATAAATTTTTGAAATTTTCAGGAATTTTTATTTGATTATGATAACGAGTAATTTGGCGGGATCCATTTTCCAATCACAAGATACCGGAAAAAAAATAAGAATCTGAGCCGTCCCGGGCAATAGGGGTCCTCCTTCGTCGGAACCCCTAAAAAAAAATTAAAGTAAAGTTGTTATTGTGGTTGCACACTCTTAAAACCTTACGAAGTATTATGAGCATACGTATAACAAACTAAAATACTTTGTTATACGAAGAAATAGTTCGTAAATTACTTAGTATTTTCTTTGTAAGCTTACGTATGCTCAAAATACTTTGTTATACAAACTAGTTTTCTTTGTAAGGCCCAAAATAGTTTGTAAGGTTTTCTCAGTGTGGTATTGAAAACAGTGTAGTGAGGGGATTAAATTACATGCCTCGCTTCTGCCAGGCTCCTGAAGAAAAACGTTGACCAGAGCGCGGTGCAGCACCGACTGGACGCCGATAGAATACATTCCAGTGGACTCTGATTCTGATTCGAGGACATCACTCTGCCGCTCTCTCTCTTTCTCTCTCTCTCTCTCTGCCTCTCTCGCTCCCTCTCTCTCTCTCTCTCTCTCTCTCTCTCTCTCTATCTCTCTCTCTCTCTCTCCCTGTCTCTGTCTGTCTCCCTCTGTCTCCCTCTCTCTCTCTCTCTCTCTCTTTCTCTCTCTCTCTTTCTCTCTCTCCCCCTCCCCCCTGCTGGACGCCGCGCGTGGCTGGTGAGAGACAGAGACAGCCTTGTTAGGAATCAGTCCGCCGGTTGTAATGAGGGGTTGTGGCGAAGCCGGACCGGCGGGGCGCGGCGGCGCGGCGCGAGAGAGGAAGCTTGTGACAGGCGGGAGGAGCTTCGAGCTCGGCGGCGACGTGCAGCAGACCGATATTCCGAGAGTCCTTTTCCTCGCTCTGTCTCTCTCGCACTCACGGGGCGTCCCTTGCAGGTGCGAGAGAGACACATCAACGACTCTCGGAATCGGTCAGCGGAGCGGTGCAGAGGCCGCGGCGAGGGCTGGCCGGCCGCGGCATGAGAGACGGGCGAAGGCATGGGCGAAGGCGAAAAGAGTTTTATTACCCGGATCCCCTTACCCAGTAATCATTTCGGCAAGCCCGGACACGGCATGCCCTGGCTGGCCCTGGCTTGCCCTGGCATGCCCACCCGGCTCGGCCCGTACCATTATTTCCGAAAATGAATAGGTGCCTCCGGGGCCGCCGAGTCCTCCACCCTCCTTCCTCCCCCTCACAGTGGGCCAGAAGACCGGTGGAGGCGACCAAAACTCTAGACGCGTTCGAGCTCCAGAGTCGCTAAATAGGGCTCGAACCGAACGTGTGACCCCACCAATGGATTCCCCGTTCGGAGAGCAATCCATTGGTGGGGTCACACGTTCGGTTCGAGTCCTGTTTAGCGACTCTGGAGCTCAAAACGCGTCTAGAGTTTTGGCCGCCTCCACCGGTCTTCTGGCCCACTGTGCCCCTGAGGCGGAGCGGGCGAATCAGCTGGCTGATTCCGAACGGGGCTCTCGGCGCCATGTCTCTCTCACACGGTGGCATACATTCCAGTACACTCTGATTCCCGACGTCGCCTCGCCGCTCTCTCTCTCTCTCTCTCTCCCTTTCTCTTCCTCTCTCTCTCTCTCTCTTCCTCTCTCTCTCTCTTCCTCTCTCTCTCTTCCTCTCTCTCTCTCTTCCTCTCTCTCTCTCTTCCTCTCTCTCTCTTCCTCTCTCTCTCTCTTCCTCTCTCTCTCTCTTCCTCTCTCTCTCCCTCTTCCTCTCTCTCTCTTCCTCTCTCTCTCTCTCTCTCTCTCTCTCTCTTTCGCCCCCTACCGGACGCAACGAGAGTGCGAGAGAGACAGAGTGACGAGGACACTGTTCGGAATCAGCCTGCTGGCGTTCCCTCTCCCCCAGTGGCCGATGAAATGAAATTCACGCGGTGCGCGCGGTGAGGTTAGGCAACCCGGGAGTGACCGCCGCGCCGCCGCCGTGCGTGGGGTTCTCGTCGATCGGGTTTTATTGGCGTAGGACGTGAGGGAAGGGGAGGGGGGGGGGAGGAGACCGCCCGCAGAGTACACAAGGTGACCCTCCGTGCTCTGCGGCCGTGCTCGGCCTCGCTGGATGGCGCGGCCTCAAACCACACATTCCGATAAGCTGGGAGGGAATGCCTACCAGACGGACGACGAAGAATTTGAGCAATGCCGGCGTTGGGACCAGACCTCTTGGCCAAGTACACACAAGTGCATTGCATATTGACACACATGACACTTGCCATACTGTATGCCACGGACCCGTGACTTAATGATGCGCCTATCCTATACGCTCAGATGTGTACAATTGCCAAGTATGCACAGTGATTGGCCAAGTATGTATTTTAAAGTGTATGTATCGATACATACACTTTAAAATACATACTTGGCCAATCACTGTGCATACTTGGCAATTGTACACATCTGAGCGTATAGGATAGGCGCATCATTAAGTCACGCAGATCTGCGTGCCAAGAAGACTGGTTTGTTGTTTTTGACAATGCTAGGGAAGGCTTGCTCACGTACGAAGCAATCCAATAATTGGTGAGATGAAAATAGGCTCAAATGCATTGCGCCATTTGAGACTCAACTGAGAAAAGTGTATCGAGGTTTTGAGACGTGTGTTAGAGGGGTCTGCCACTGATTAAAATTGTGTTTAAGTCTAACGAGTTTTTACTAAATTCAGCCTTTCTTTTAGCCTACATACAGGTGTTTATCCGAGGGGATAACGACTAGTAAATTTCGCGTCAGCCGGATAACGGATTACCCCGGATTACCCCCAAATTACCTCCGGATTACAACAAAAAAAAATTCCTGCATTACCTTTGGATTTAGCAGGATTACCCCGGATTTCCACAAAATTTTCCCGGATTACCTCAAAATTTTGGGTTACCTGGATTACGGATTACCAATTTGCTGTCAGCCGGATTCCCAAAGTCGTTACCCCCTCGTGTTTATCTCACAAATTGTCGTTCGTGTGGTCAAGATACACTGTTTAAAAAAAATTCTGAAAATTCAGACTAAATGAACTGAAGAAAATTTCGCAAAAGGCACTCCTAATTTTCAGACCAACTTTTTCAGAAACATGCGTTCTGAAAATTCAGACCTGTGAATTCAGACCACAAGTCTGAATATGGATTAAGACCTCTAGTCTGAATTGGTATTAAGACCGCTGGACTCTGAAATTTAGGAATTTGGTGAGCTTAAAATTGAGATGTCTTATTTCTTAAAAAAGGGCTTCCTGGTCTGAATTTGCTCTCAGCAGTTCACTCCCATACCCCTCGCCCCCCTCTTTGTGCGCAGTGCGGGCAAGGTAATATATGAAAGTTGATCCAACCAATGCTTTAAGAAGGATGAAAATTGCTGTGGCTAGTAAAAGTCAATTTTGTAACCTTAAGGATACTGTCAAGTGAAACTTGCATGTCCTAGAAATATTTGTCACAGGAAGTTCATTTTGAGGTCAAAATTCCACCACTATTAGATAAATTTATTCTCAAAGTTGGGGACTCCAACTCTAATTAGTTTCTGAGTTATGGAGGTTTACGTAAACTTTTAGTCGTTTCCTCCAAATTCTTCTCACGACAAAGGATTCTTCAGATTCTGGCAATTATATCTATTTTTGCATATGAAAAAGAAAGCATTGTCAAATTTGAAAATACAAGTCCAGAAGAGGCTGTATTAGCTTTTAAAAAGCTAACTTATCAGGCCCACTTTTATTTTTCTTCAAATTTAAAAGATTTTGCCTTATTATTGGTTTATGGTGTTTCAGGAAAACTAAGGGAGATATTTTTTAAAAAAGCTATCTATTTCCTTTGCAAAAATAGATATAATTACAATAATATGAAGACTGGGTAGCTAATCCTTTGTCGTGAGGAAAATTTGAGAGAAACGACTAAAAGTTAACGTAACCATCCATAACTCAGAAACTAAAATAAGGTGGTGTACAACTCTTAGTGCATGAGTTAATGCAATGGAAAGGAACTTTTATCCAGGAATTGAGATATCTGGACAAATATTTAGAAAAAAAACTTAGAAAGTCACTTTGGTCACTTCAGTCATCATAACCATAAATTTCTTTGCTTATCATCGCAAAATCAACTCAAACCTTGGTTGTAACAATTAACTCACTGTGGCAAGCACACGATCCAACACGCACCGGTGCACACGAAGTGAACGTATCAGATTCGTCCAACCAGAAGTTTGAACTAATATCCGATGAAGGCACTTTGGGGACGAGTGTGAACGGGGAGAGGTGAATAACTTAGAACACCTCTCGCCCTCTCACCGCCCGCCCCTTCAGTTTCGGGAGATGCGTACAGCGAGCGCAGAGTCACTACAGCGTCAAGAAGGGTCATCAGCAGAAAACACTTCGAACTAAAATGCACTTCTTTCCGTCGACATGACTTCAGCGCGCCGAGCGAGTGGACCTGACGCAAAATACACGTGATGTGTGCACCTTGGAAGACTGCTGGAGACTGGCGTTTTGCGTGCAGGGCGCCGGGTCGGCCAAAACATTCCGAGTTGCCGACGGATTAGCGCTCCCCTCCTTGCCGAGCCAATCAGAGGGCGCCTCCAGCCGGCCCTGCCTCGCCGGACTTTCCGAGAATGCACCGGCGGGGACAGTCCTGCGGCCGCTGCACTGGGCTCGGCTCGGTGCTCGGCCCTGCTCGGTGCCGAACGGACTCAGCCGAACAAGTCCGAGACAAACTAGATCGCTTTCGGGCCTACTAGCTTAGCTGGTCAAGGTGCTCCCAGAGCGCTATAAAGAGGGCTACTCTGGGGCTCAAGGTGCTACCTTCGGGGCAGTCCGATTAAGGCAGCGTATGTAGAAAGAGAGGGCGGGAGTCAGACGAGTCGGGCAGAAAATTAAGACCGGACGCTGAATTCTACTTTCAGACTCGCGGGGCAAATTATTAAACCTTGTTAAGTCTGAATTTTCAGACCGCCGCGTCTGAAATTTTTTTAAGACTACAAGGTCCGTATTTTTAGACCTGCGGTCCAAATATTAGGACTCTAGTCTGAAAACGAAATTCAGACGGACAAGTCTGACACTTTCGGTCTGAATTTTAAGAATTTTTTTAACAGTGTACCTTTAATAGTTCTGTTCATTCGGTTTCGAGAGGAGAAGAAAGAGAAATAACATGCATTTTAAGACTTTAATTTATTAATCTTTGAAATATCGTCGGTAAAAGGAACAGCAAACAATAATGCAGCTCCTCCTGCTGCAAGCATGAGCGCAAAATCTTTGGCATGAGCTCTAAGAGCAGGGTGAGCATCTCACTGTTTTGCCGTCAAGACTTAGCCCAGGGAGGGGAGAGCTCCGGTGGGGAGGGCACGGCCGAGACCGAGACCCAAGTTGGTGGCGGAGTTGGCAGCGCCGAGTCCCGCAGCGATGCCGCGGTTGGCGAGGTTCTGGGCGGTGCCCACGGCGGTCTGGGCCAAACCGGCGCCGAGGCCGGCGAAGCCCTGAGCGAGGTCGGAGGCCCCCTGGATGGCCTTCAGGCCGGTGGCGGCCGCAGCCTCGGCGGCGTTGGTCACGTCGCGGGCCTGCCTGTTCAGGACGGACGTAGCAGCGGCGGGCAGAGAGGAGGCCAAGTTCAGGCCGGTGGAGGCGGCACCCTGGGCGGCGTTGGCGGCTGAGGAGGCCAGCTGGGCGGGAAGGCTGGCGATGTTCTGGACACCGCTAAGACCGGGAAGTCCCTGAAGGTTGCTCAGACCAGGAAGGCTCTGAAGGTTGCTCAGACCAGGAAGGCCCTGAAGGTTGTTCAGACCGGGAAGGCCCTGAAGGTTGCTCAGGCCAGGAAGGCCCTGAAGGTTGCTCAGACCCGAAAGTCCCTGGATGCCGGACAGGAGCGGGCTGGGAGAAGCCTGTATTTCAAGTAAGAAAGGAAGATTTACAAACCAGTGACAATTCTAATTCGTCAGCAGTCCTCACTTTTTATTTTGTGGATAGTTCATAAGTGGTACAATGCACTCCCAAAATCACTGAAACTTTCTTTTGTCTTTTAAGGACGACTTTGTGTCATTATAAATTATTTGAAGGATGCACTTGACGACGAAGAACACTACTTCGTAAATTGCTTTGCTGATCTTGGTTCGATAAATTCAATAGTTTCCACCGGACATGTATGTTTGCAGTACTTTCGTAACCGTTTTATCGTCAACTTCGACATCGACTTTTAAAAAAAAACTTGTCATCTCGACACGGTAAAAGTGTTGCCTTGAAATTCATGTCGAGTTCCAATCCACACCACTTTTTGTTTGTCTTCTCGAAACAAGTCCATTTTCGGAAAGTGATTTTGATTTGGGCCAGTTAAGAAATTCACTCAAACCTCTTAGAAATACAAGGTAGGTTTACGCCAGACCGCGTCTTGTCGTAACAGGCTTCGCGATGTCTCGCTGCCTGTTCCTCCAATCCGCGCCTGGCGTACCTACCTTGGCCTGCGGCGCTAGCCTGCCTTCGGCAGGCAATGGCTTGTCCATCGTCGGTTACTTCTGACTTGGTGCGTGCTGGGGGGCTCCGCCCCCCAGACCCCCCTTCTTCAACACAGAAGTGATCTGCCTGCAGAAAACTCGATTTTTCGCCGTTTTTTAAGTGTTTTTCGGCTATAAAAACTGAACCAGTTGAGCTAGGATAGTGAAATTTCGCGTGTGCCGAGCCAAGGACATGCCCAAAAAGTGTGCAAAATCTCACCGAGATCGGCCGAGCCGTTCAGGAGGAGTAGTGCGGACACACACACACACACACACACACACAGACAGGAAAAACTTTTCAACCCCAATGGAGTAACAGGCTTCGCTATCGCTCAGCCAAAAACCAAGGCAGCCCCTAGGATTACAAGGCAGGACTTTTACTGTGTCCTTGCATTCAACTTCTAGGGGGCGTTGGAACCGTTGGCACTACCAACCTCGGCGGAGCGGGTCTGCCTGTTAAGGACGGACGACGCAGCGGCGGGCAGAGAGGAGGCGGCGTTGATGCCCGAGGAAGCCAGCTGGGTGGGAAGGGAGGCCAGGCTGGAGATGTCCTGGATGCCGTTAAGGCCCGGAAGACCCTGCAGGTTGCTCAGACCAGGAAGTCCCTGAAGGTTGCTCAGACCAGGAAGTCCCTGAAGGTTGCTCAGACCAGGAAGTCCCTGAAGGTTGCTCAGACCAGGAAGTCCCTGGAGGTTGCTCAGACCAGGAAGTCCCTGAAGGTTGCTCAGACCCGAAAGTCCCTGGATGCCGGACAGGAGGGGGCTGGGAGAAGCCTGTGTTTAAATAGAGAAAGATTTATAGAGACAATAATAAAGGGGTCGTCCCAGGTTGTGCACGTACTACGTAACGTTTTCCACAAACCCATGTTCCTTCTTAGTGATTGTCAAATGCGGGAAAGACAGAAGACGTTAAGCAACTAATGAGTTTCATCAGTTCTAATCGTACTTTAGATTTTGTTAATTCATTAATTGCAGTGCACTCCTAAAGCCGTTAGCGCTACTTTCGGTCTTTTAAAGAAACTTTCAAGTGATTACAAATTTAAAGGATGCACTCGACTATAAAGATACGTCCGTCACCATTTTGTCAACTGCAAGAGCAACTTCAAGAAGTTGAGATCCCTTTGCATTTCACTTGGGGCGTTGAGAACGTCGGTGGCAATACCAACCTCGGCGGAGCGGGCCGGCCTGCTCAGAATGGACGACGCAGCGGCGGGCAGAGAGGAGGCGGCGTTGATGCCAGAGGAGGCCAGCTGGGCGGGAAGGCTGGTCAGGCTGGAGATGTCCTGGACACCGCTCAGACCCGGAAGTCCCTGGAGGCTGCTGAGACCCGGAAGTCCCTGCAGGTTGCTCAGACCCGGAAGCCCCTGCAGACTGTTCAGACCCGAAAGTCCTTGGTTGCCGGACAGGATCGGGCTGGCAGAAGCCTGTATGTTTCAAGAAAGAAATACTCATAAACCAGTGTCACGGGGCAAACAAATCGACGGACTCTCCAGGTAAATTCACTGGTACTTTGACAAAGTGACGAAAGTCCACAATCTCTTATTTTTCAGGAGAGTCAAAACAAGTCTAAAATTTGAGCTGCAAAATAGAGTTTTGGGATTTGATGGTTGAGTTTAACACCATAGAATCCTGAAGGCATGAGTGTTCTTTAGGTTCAAGAGCCATTGCAATCGGCAGCTTAGTTCCCGAGATAGAGGACATTCGCCATTTGTCAGCGTACGAAAATGAGGTCAAAACGACGAAAGTCCAACCGTACTTTGACAAAACGACGAAAGTCCGACCGTACTTTGATAAAACGACGAAAGTCCATACGTAATTTGACAATATGGCGAAAGTCCACCTTTACTGCTAACACAAATTAAACAAGGTAGGTTTACGCCAGACCGCGTCTTGTCGTAACAGGCTTCGCGATGTCTCGCTGCCTGTTCCTCCAATCCGCGCCTGGCGTACCTACCTTGGCCTGCGGCGCTAGCCTGCCTTCGGCAGGCAATGGCTTGTCCATCGTCGGTTACTTCTAACTTGATGCACGCTGGGGGGCTCCGCCCCCAGACCCCCCTTCATTCTAGATCCCTTGTAACTTTCTAACTTGTCAGGGCTGGGGGGCTCCGCCCCCCAGACCCCCCTTCTTCGAGACAGAAGTGATCTGCCTGCAGAAAACTCGATTTTTCGCCGTTTTTAGGTGTTTTCCGGCTATAAAAACTGAACCAGTTGAGCTAGGATAGTGAAATTTCGCGTGTGCCGAGCCAAGGACATGCCCAAAAAGTGTGCAAAATCTCACCTAGATCGGCCGAGCCGTACAGGAGGAGTAGTGCGGACACACACACACACACACACAGAAAGACGGACAGACAGACAGAAAAAACTTTTCAACCCCAATGGAGTAACAGGCTTCGCTATCGCTCAGCCAATGAAACTTTTCAACTCTAGCATGTTTTATGTTCATGCCGTCACTGAACTCATGAATAATTATCTTAATTGGAAAGCAAAGACGACCGGTTTTTGCAGTTGGGACTTTCGTCATATTGTCAAAGTACGGTTGGACTTTCGTCGTTTTGTCAAAGAACGGCTTTTCGTCATTTTGTCAAAGTACAGTTGGACTTTCGTCATTTTGAAGTATTTTCCTACGCTGAATCTATTAGAGATATCGACATATGCTTTTCACCAGTCGACAGGAAATCAAAAGTTCTAGAACGCAGCCAAAAATTTCATTTTATCAAAATTTTGGACTTTCGTCACTCTGTCAAAGTATCAGTGAATTATTGACCAGTCTCGACCCGTACACTTTTCCGCACACTCATGGACAGGGGTGCGGAGGCTCCGTGCCCTTGTCATTGTTGTTGAAAAGCTTCGAGGTGTCTCTAAGAGTCTCCAAGTCTCGCACTGTTAAAAATAATCGTAAATTTACGACATTTTGTAAAACAATTATGTCGTTTTTAAACGACATATTTTATTACGACTCAAGTCGTAAATATACGACATTTTTGTCGCTAATTTTGATAGCGAGACGTTCCGTTTTGAAACGAATGAAGTCGTAAATTTACAACTTTATCGTAAGTTTACGAACGGTCGTAATTTATCTTTGGAATATGTTGTGCAGTTATGACTTCAGTCGTACATTTACGAATCTTGTCGTAAATTTGTGCAATGAATCGTAAATGAACGACACAAATCGTAAATAAGCGAGCAAAATTGCAACTTTTCATCAACTTTTCGGAGATTTTAGATTTCAAAATATGTAATCGCGAATTCGACATTGTCGTAGAGAAACGATTTTTTAGTCGTTCAGTTACGACGAAGTAGTTTCTGCACGATTTCTGTCGCTATCAAAATTAGCGAAGTTTTTGTCGCTAATTTATGACAAAATTTCTGACAGTGCGGTGTGTTGAGTTGACACGCTTTCTTTGACCTCTAATGCGAGTGATACTGCTGCAGGTGTACTCACCACGGCGCAGAGGGCCAGAATGCAGCACAGGAACTTGGCCATGGTGGATCTCGGTTGACTACTGGCAGGTAAGTCTTGTCATTTGGTGATTCGCTGGCCCTTTATATACAGATTGCCTATTTTGGGACTACGTCTGCCTTAAATCCGCCCCTTCCGTGCTCAGTTTGCACAAGTGGCCGCTTTCGACGCGCGGAGACTGCCTCACGAAAACACGTATAGAGAACGTCAGAGACGCGGATTTATTTACCTACTCAAGTCTTTGAACTGCGTAGTGCGTCAAGGCACATCAGGCTGGCCAAACAAAGGCATTCCATTTATGTCTATTGAAGCGGAAATGCCTGTAGTTCACTAGTACCCAAGGAATGTGACGTCACGTTCGTTTTCACGTGAAAACGGCGTCACAAACGGTGAAAATTTACAGTCAAACGAATGGGACATACCGCGCCGCTTTGTCACATTACTTCGGGTGTGACACGCAATCAGCTGTCGAACTGTCACATTGAAACGAATGTGACACCTATGTACTGTCACGTTCGTTTGAATGTGACATGCCCACTTTGTCACATTAAAACGAACGTGACACCCCTTAATCTGACAATCATGGCGTGTCACATTCAAACGAACGTGACAAAGTGGGCATGCCACTATTCAAACGAATGTGACAGTACATGGATGTCACATTCGTTTGGATGTTACACGACAGGTGTACTTGGGCACCATGTGTCACATTCGTTTTAGTGTGACAGTTCGACAGCTGATTGCGTGTCACACCCGAAGTAATGTGACAAAGCGGTGCGGTGTGTTACATTCGTTTGACTGTAAATTTTCACCGTTTGACACGCTTAGACTAACATCGCCGTTTTCACGTGAAAACAAACGTGACGTCGCATTCCTTGGCTACCAGTGTAGCGGCTACGTTTACTGCCCCATGGTAAGGCATTACTTCATTTTATAGGTCAAAGTGCCTGCGTGGCTTTTACACCCTTTCAAAGGTTCTTTAAATTCATAGACTTTTTTGATAAAGGGTGGGCATACAGGCCTAAAAGTACTATTCAGTTCTACCGGAGTATGTTCTTTGAAAGTACAATAAATTCTCGATAAAAAATTTGACAAGAATTTGTGTATTTTTGTTGTGGTTTTTTCTTGCAGTGCGACGCACATTGTTAGTTTCCTGCGCAACATACGAAATTTCTTCGTAAAGCATTTAGAGAGGGCCAACCGCGCCATAGAGCTCCTGGGAAAAGGCGGCGTGCAAATATTACGTCACCAATTTTAGGCCTCTTCCCCCCCCCCCCCCCCGGGTCATCGGTTTAACCTAACCTTCCCATGTGTTTAAGATAGGACCGTCATCAGAAGCCAGTCCTCTCCCCCCTAAAATGATGACTCGTGTACTCTGCGGGCGGTCTCCGCCCCCCCCCCCCCCCCCCCCCCACGTCCTACGCCAATAAAACCCGATCGACGAGAACCCCACACGGTGAAACCGATGCCTGGAAATTTCCAGATATATCGCATTTCCAGATATTATCTGGAAATGCCGTTTTTTTTTCAGATATATATCTGGGATTTGACTATTTCCAGATATTATCTGGAAAAAGTACACATTTCCAGACAATATCTGGAAAAAAACGACTATTTCCAGATAATATCCAGATAATATCTGGAAATGCGAAAAAATATCTGGAAATTTCCAGACATCGGTTTCACCGTGTGGGGTTCTCGTCGATAGGGTTTTATTGGCGTAGAACGTGGGGGGGCGGAGACCGCCCGCAGAGTACACAAGGTGACCCTCCGTGCTCTGCGGCCGTGCTCGGCCTCGCTGGATGGCGCGCCTCAAACCACACATTCCGATACAGCTGGGAAGAATGCCTACCAGACGGACGACGAAGAATTCGAACAATGCCAGGTGCACTGTACCAGAGACTCATGGCGTTGGGACCAGACCTCTTGGCCAAGTACACACAAGTGCATTGCATACCTATTGACACACTTGCCATACTGTATGCCACGGACCCATGACTTAATGAAACGCCTATCCTATACGCTCAGATGTGTACAATTGCCAAGTATGCACAGTGATTGGCCAAGTATGTATTTTAAGGTGTATGTATGTGTGTGCTAAGAAGACTGGTTTGTAGCTTTAAACAATGCTCGGGAAGGCTTACTCACGTACGAAGCATTCCATAAAGTGGTGAGATGAAAATAGGCTCATTTGAGACTCAACTGGGAAAAAAGTATCGAGGGTTTGAGACGTGTGTTTGAGGGGTCTGCAACTGATCAAAATTGTGTACAAGTGTGGCGAGATTTTACTGAATTCAGCCATTCTTTTAGCCTACATACAGGTGTTTGTCTCACAAAGTGTCGTTCGTGTGTTCAAGATGCCTTTAATAATTCTTTTCATTCGGGTTCGAGAGGAGAAGAAATAACATGTATTTTAAGGCTTTAATTTATTAATCTTTGAAATGTCGTCGGTAAAAGGAACAGCAAACAATAATGCAGCACCTCCTGCTGCAAGCATGAGCGCAAAATCTTTGGCATGAGCTCTAAGAGCAGGGTGAGCATCTCACTGTTTTGCCGTCAAGACTTAGCCCAGGGAGGGGAAGGCTCCGGTGGGGAGGGCACGGCCGAGACCGAGACCCAAGTTGGTGGCGGAGTTGGCAGCGCCGAGTCCCGCAGCGATGCCGCGGTTGGCGAGGTTCTGGGCGGTGCCCACGGCGGTCTGGGCCAAACCGGCGCCGAGGCCGGCGAAGCCCTGAGCGAGGTCGGAGGCCCCCTGGATGGCCTTCAGGCCGGTGGCGGCCGCAGCCTCGGCGGCGTTGGTCACGTCGCGGGCCTGCCTGTTCAGGACGGACGTAGCAGCGGCGGGCAGAGAGGAGGCCAAGTTCAGGCCGGTGGAGGCGGCACCCTGGGCGGCGTTGGCGGCTGAGGAGGCCAGCTGGGCGGGAAGGCTGGCGATGTTCTGGACACCGCTAAGACCAGGAAGGCCCTGAAGGTTGCTAAGACCGGGAAGGCTCTGAAGGTTGCTCAGACCGGGAAGGCCCTGAAGGTTGTTCAGACCGGGAAGGCCCTGAAGGTTGCTCAGGCCAGGAAGGCCCTGAAGGTTGCTCAGACCCGAAAGTCCCTGGATGCCGGACAGGAGCGGGCTGGGAGAAGCCTGTATTTCAAGTAAGAAAGGAAGATTTACAAACCAGTGACAATTCTAATTCGTCAGCAGTCCTCACTTTTTATTTTGTGGATAGTTCATAAGTGGTACAATGCACTCCCAAAATCACTGAAACTTTCTTTTGTCTTTTAAGGACGATTTTGTGACGTTACAATTTATTTGAAGGATGCACTTGACTACGAAGAACACTACTTCGTAAATTGCTTTGCTGTTCTTGGTACGTTAAATTCAATAGTTTCCACCGGACATGTATGTTTGCAGTACTTTCGTAACCGTTTTATCGTCAACTTCGAGATCGATTTAAAAAAAAAAACTTGTGATCTCGACACGGTAAAAGTGCTGCCTTGAAATTCAAGTCGATTTCCCGTCCAAACCTATGACATGTGTTGGCATTTTTTGTTTGTCTTCTCGAGATATATCCATGTCTAAAAAGTGATTTTGATTTGGGCCAGTTAAAAAAATCACTCAAACCTCTTAAAACCAAGACATCCCCTTGGATTTCAAGGCGGGACTTTTACTGTGTCCTTGCATTCAACTTCTAGGGGGCGTTGGAACCGTTGGCACTACCAACCTCGGCGGAGCGGGTCTGCCTGTTAAGGACGGACGACGCAGCGGCGGGCAGAGAGGAGGCGGCGTTGATGCCCGAGGAAGCCAGCTGGGTGGGAAGGGAGGCCAGGCTGGAGATGTCCTGGATGCCGTTAAGGCCCGGAAGACCCTGCAGGTTGCTCAGACCAGGAAGTCCCTGAAGGTTGCTCAGACCAGGAAGTCCCTGAAGGTTGCTCAGACCAGGAAGTCCCTGGAGGTTGCTCAGACCAGGAAGTCCCTGAAGGTTGCTCAGACCCGAAAGTCCCTGGATGCCGGACAGGAGGGGGCTGGGAGAAGCCTGTGTTTAAATAGAGAAAGACTTATAGAGACAATAATAAAGGGGTCGTCCCAGGTTGCGCACGTACTACGTAACGTTTTCCACAGACCCGTGTTGCTTCTTAGTGATTGTCAAATGCGGGAAAGACAGAAGACGTTAAGCAACTAATGAGTTTCATCAGTTCTAATCGTACTTTAGATTTTGTTAATTCATTAATTGCAGTGCACTCCTAAAGCCGTTAGCGCTACTTTCGGTCTTTTAGAGAAACTTTCAAGTGATTACCAATTTAAAGGATGCACTTGACTTCTAAGATTCGTCCGTCACCATTTTGTCAACTGCAAGAGCAACTTCGAGAAGTTGAAATCCCTTTGCATTTCACTTGGGGCGTTGAGAACGTCGGTGGCAATACCAACCTCGGCGGAGCGGGCCGGCCTGCTCAGAATGGACGACGCAGCGGCGGGCAGAGAGGAGGCGGCGTTGATGCCAGAGGAGGCCAGCTGGGCGGGAAGGCTGGTCAGGCTGGAGATGTCCTGGACACCGCTCAGACCCGGAAGTCCCTGGAGGCTGCTGAGACCCGGAAGTCCCTGCAGGTTGCTCAGACCCGGAAGCCCCTGCAGACTGTTCAGACCCGAAAGTCCTTGGATGCCAGACAGGATCGGGCTGGCAGAAGCCTGTATGTTTCAAGAAAGAAATACTCATAAAGCAATGTCAGGGGGGGGCAAAAAAAAATTACGGACTGTCCAGGTAAATTATTGACCAGTCTTGACCCGTACACTTTTCCGTACACTCATGGACAGAGGTACGGACGGAGGCTCCGTGCCCTCGTCAATGTTGTTCAAAAGCTTTGAAGTGTCTCTAAGAGTCTCCAAGTCTCGGTATGTTGAATTGACACGCTTTCTTTGCCCTCTGGAGCGAACGATCCTGCTGTACTCACCACGGCACAGAGGGCCAGAATGCAGCACAGGAATTTGGCCATGGTGGATCTCGGTTGACTACTGGCAGGTAAGTCTTGTCATTGGGTGATTCGCAAGCCCTTTATATACAGACTGCATATTCTGGTACTACGTATGCCTTAAATCCGCCCCTTCCGTGCTCAGTTTGCACAAGTGGCCGCTTTCGACGCGCGGAGACTGCCTCACGAAACCACGTATAGAGAACGTCAGAGACGCGGATTTATTTACCTACTCAAGTGTTTGAACTGCGTAGTGCGTCAAGGCACATCAGGCTGGCCAAACAAAGGCATTCGTTTCATGTCTATTAGCGGAAATGCCTGAAGTAGCGGCTACGTCTACTGCCCCATGGCAAGGCATTAGTTCATTTCAGAGGTCAAAGTGCCTGCATTTTTTTTACGCCCTTTCAAAGGTTGTTTATAATAAATCCATAGACTATTTGGGTAAAGGGCGTGACGGGGTTAATACTTCAAAGGGCATACAGGCCTGAAAGTACTATTCAGTTATACCGGAGTACCCTTTTGTTGTTCTTTGAAAGTGCAATAAATTCCCGATAAAAAAATTGGACAGGAATTTGTATACTTTTGTTGTGGTTTTTTCTTGCAGTGCGACGCACATTGTAATCTTACAGACGCACTGTCTTGCTTGTTTGCCTCACCCGCAGGGGAGTTAGTCAACGGTTGCGGGTGCAGCGAGGTCTCGCGTGTTGGGTAAGGTGGGCCTGCGTACACTCTTGATGTTTAACGGTGAGATTTGAGCCGTGTTATAGGGAAAATTCGGCGCAAGCACAGTGCGAGGCTAAATTCCTTCCTTTCGCGAGTCCTTTTCGGATTTTTGCCATAAGATATAACGTATTATCTTCGTACTACGAAGAAAGACTTGAGCTATTTCCTGCGTAACATACGAAATTTCTTCGTGAAGCATTGAGAGTGTGCCAACCGCGCCATAGGGTTCCTGGGAAAAACCAGGTACTGTTTTTACCGTGTTCCAACCGCGTGCGGGATGTGACCCGACGTCACATTCTTCATATATAATAACACTTCTAACTCTAAAGAGGTTGGAGGTGGAGTGTTTGTCGAAGGGTAGACCACGACCCCACCCCATCCCCCACCCCAGCCTCGCAGTTATGAGAAAGAAGTGACGGCGCCAAACGGACTGAATTAAACATTCGCGCGAATTATGAGACGGAGGGAGGGAGGGCAACGCAGGGCAAAGCGGGGCAGGGCAACCGCTGGCCGGCGAGACTGACTCCGAGCGGGAGGTTCTTCTCACTCGCACGCTCAGGGCGTGGCGTTTCGGTGCGAGAGAGGCAGAGCCAGGGCACCTCCCGCCCGGAAACAACCGGCAGGGCGCAGGTGTGCAGGGCTGGGCGTAGAATGATGCAGCCCGTAGGGAGGCTAAGGGGTAATGCACCTTCTGGCGTAGAGCGCGTGGCGGACCCTGCCCTGAGTGGCCGATGGGGCCGAGGAGCATTGATTGCCAACTTATAGGGGCACAACGTGCCTTTTTTTGCCTAACCTTATGGGTATGCACTGAAAAACCAAACGTAGTCTAGGCCGCACCACTGGTGTGGTGAAATGGGTGCCATTCTGACCATATCAGTTGGTGTGGTCTAGACCACGTTTCATGTGGTCTTTCCATGCAATGACCGCAGCAAATGCACCAAACGTGGTCTAGACCACACCAACTGATGCGGTCAAAATGGCACCCATTTGACCACACCAGTTGGTGCGGTCTAGACCACCTTTGATTTTTCAGTGTTCACTACAAGATCAAATGTGTGCTTAGTACACAGCTATGGGAGCGTACTTGCAAGCACACATCTATAGCTGTATGCTTGGGGACAAGCACACATCTATAGGTGTGTGCTTGGCAAGCACACAGCTACAGGTGTATGCTTGGCAAGTACACATCTATAGGTGTATGCTTGGCCAAGCACACTTTAATCCCACCCATTTAAAGGCATACTCCTCCAGCTGTGTGCTTGGCCAAGCATACATCTAGAGATGTGTGCTTGTCCAAGCATACATCTGTAGATGTGTGCTTGTCCAAGCATACACCTATAGATGTGTACTTGGCAAGCATACACCTATAGATGTGTGCTTGCAAGTACGCTCCCACAGCTGTGTACTAAGCACAAATTTGATCTTGTAGTGTAGCTGTGGCCGGCGGGGACGCTCCCCGTCCCCACTTTTCCTCTTTCCCTCTGATTGGATAGGGGAATTCGCCCTTGTGGTTTCTATCGATTCATGGATTCTTGTGCCTTTGGGACAGCCGCCAACACTTGTGCATTAAAGACAAGTCTGTCACAAATTGATTTCATCTTTCCACACTCGGGTAAAACTACTTTGCGCCTTACATCCATAAGCAGCTTGTTATATGAAAGTATTTTGAGCATATAAGTCTAAAGAGGAAATACATCGTAATTTACGAACTGCATGTCTTAGAAAATAAATAGTGTGCTCCCTACTAATGATCGAAATACTTCTTGATGTTTTCAGCGTGCAATGCTGATGCCATAAGCGTGGTGACAAAGTCATATACTAGTTTAATCATTTATTTTTTTTTGGTCAGAAAAATAAGCCTTGAAATGGACATTAAGTGAAGACGAGACGTTCACAGTGTAGTTGAGTTTCACAGGAAATAAATAAGTGTGTAAACTTAACTTTTTCTGAGTCATCGACCAGTAGAAACAATCTCTTTATTCCGATACATCATTTTTTATGACCAGTGCTGTAGACCGCGCCCTCCATTGTATTCCTTCTGGACTGCAGGTGCCAGTCCTGCTTATCAAAGCGTCTGGCGGCCTCACCAACGGGTGAGTCACTGAGTCTTGACGGCTGTTGCCGAGTATAACATGCACCCATAAACAATCATTCAAAATGAGTAGCTGTCATTTTCCCAACCTCGTGAACCAAGACAAGGAAACCTAATAGCCCAAAAGGACGGAACAGCTTTGATCAAGCCTTGAGTACTTACCGATCGTAGCTTTCAGGCTATTCCCCTCCGTGGACTCTTTTAGGCTTTGACGTGATCCTTTTTATAAGCAGAGTGAGTTGCTGCGCAAAAAGGTAACACGTTGAAGCCTGTTTTTTAATCAGATAATGCCCCCTGCACTGAGACGCCGCCGAACCCCTTCGAGCGTGATAGCGCTTCAGCCAATCAGCAGCGACCTCGTGCATATAAAACCTGATGCAACCAAACGCAACGGCCAGTGCAGTTCGTCCCACGTCGCCATTTACCGTCTTTCCAAGAGTTGCTGCTATGGCGTTGGTGACAAGGACTACTTTGGATCCTGGGGAGGATGAGTACAAGGAGATAGCAAAGAGTGAGTACCTGGAGGAAAGCGAAAGATCTATGCCGAGCAGCTGAGAAGAATCCGGCAGAACCTAACTGGAGTCCCGATTTCAGCTTTCAACTCAGGACGCTTAGTGAACTCGGGCTGCGAGTTGTTGTCTGTCGAGAAGGTGCACAACGCAACACTGACGCAGCTGTTCTGGGAAACAGCTCAACGGTACCAGAGGGACTACGGCCACGTTAACATTGTGAAGGGGTGGCACGGCACCAAAAAGGAAAACGTTGCCTCCATCCTACAAAATAACTTCGACGTCTCCAACACAGGTAAATATCCCATTGCAGAAGCCCAGCAGAAAATTCATTTCCGATTTGTGGCTGAATGCACTCGATAATGGGTCACAGACGTTTCTCAACTTAAATTTACACAAAAAACGAACGCTGGATTTTCAGGACTTCTCAGAAGTCACCGTAGGTGGAGCGGGACTTCTGTCATTGGTGCTGCCTGCACTACATTAAAATACCTGCATTATAAATTGGAGCGCATATTGTTAACACAGTTTGTCTGTGATGCAGGTCGCCACCGTTATGGCCCGGGGGTGTCTTTCTCCAGTGTGCCATCTTACGCGTTCCACTACTGCGACAAGAGGACATCCGAGGCCTGCATGCTACTGGTCAACGTTCTCGTGTCCGAAGTCATTGAGTTGCCCGAAAACAAGGATGAAAACAGTGTGCCGAGTGAGCTTCCGTTCCTACCTGGCAGCAGCTCCCTGCGCTATGACACCTCCACCAAGGACAAGGACAACCTGATCGTCTTCGCCAAGCGCCACGAGCACGCCTTCCTGCCCACTCACGTGGTGCACTTCAAGCGCATCCCAGTCCCTCCGCCGAGATGCAGCCGCCGGATCAGCTTTGTATTGTCAGGCGAAATGTGGAACCTGAATAATTTCAATCCATTTGCCTCGCCAATGGATACGCTTGGCGGATCACCGGGTGGCTAGCTGGATCAGAGGAAATGGCACCGCCCGAGCAGTGGACGGCCCTCGCCCTCGTCCATCATGGGTGAGAAGTCGCGTTTGTTGGGGTGGATACGGTGGACCTAATACTGGATACGTTTTGATTTTTGCTGTATGTACTCGGACTCTCTCGCAGGCATCCCGAGGGGGTAAACACTACTCCCTATTACGGGGTATTACACTTGTATTACGCATGTATTACGCCTTGATTTCATTGAAAAATGACATTTTTTATACTTTTGGTCCCAAAATGTATTACTACTACGCATATTACGGCGTAATACCCGACTTTTGTGTACAGGGTATTACGCAAGTGTTTACCCCCTCGAGGCATCCTTAACTGAACACAATTTTGCCCGCCTTAACGTTGACTTACCCATCGTAACTTTTGATACGTGCTCACGCACAAGACATCCTGTTATGTACGAAGTTTGTCCAGTTAATCGAAAATGAGCATTTTTCTGGCTTCCTGTGATGCATAGAATCATTTTAATTTTGCTCATGTTTTCTGTTAATTTATTTAGGTAACGGTTATCTTTGTGTTATACTAAGTTAAGGACCCCTGCTACGTCAACCGGACTTGTATGAGTCCTACCTAGTGTTGGACTGAATTTCCTGACCTCCGAAGAGGCAGGGAGGATTTTCTGGTTTTTTGCTATTAATCTCCGTCGCCATGATTCGATAAATTTGAAGAGAAGAGTAAGTGTCGAAGTAGGACGTAATCTTAATTGACTTCGTCGCCATGACCCGCAATGATTCGTGATCCAGTGAAAGTGAAATATGTTCGGCCGAGCCGGTCAATTCTACTAAGTTCTTTCTAGCTGGGTCTGTCGGTCATTGATAGGGTTTTAAAATACCTATGAAACCTATATCCGTAAAGGAGGAATAAGCAGCACATGCATGTTATAGTAATTTTAAAGAAAAACAGGCTTGTCATAGTTGTCGTCGATGTGCCCGCCAAATTTTATCCAAGTCATAATGATCACCGTCGCTATGATCCGATAAATGATCAAAGAAAGTTATGGTTGCCGTTTCCGTGATCCTATAAATGATCAAAGTGATGAAAGATGGCTTTGATCACTTTGATCATTTTCATTTGCGGCGAGGGCGAGCATAATGATCATTTATCGGATCATGGCGACGGTGAGGCTTTATGATTTGGTTTTCTTTGTTGATCTACGATGATTAACTATCAAATCTGAGTGTCGTGAAGCGACGAAAACTACTTCAGGATAATTTTCCCTTGGAGGATTTTGTCACCTTCTGGCTGTCATTATTTACATTTGCTAAGTATTTTCAATCTTAATCTTTCAGTATGATTTCTTAATCTGAGCCTATCAACCTTGAGGTTTATTGGGCCTTACGTGTCCGTGTCATGCCATGATGACACTCCTCTACACTGTGCGAAAAAAAAACAGTAAATCCCGTAAATTTTTTTGCCGGGATTTACTGTAGCTCAGGACACAGTATTTACTGTGCCTGGTTACAGCATTTACTGTTCCTGGTACAGGATATTCCGTACTCCACTCCTGTGGTAACAGTAAATCCCGTACAAAGTACAGTAGATCCTGTAAAAAAAAGGACGGTAAATCCTGTACTCTGAACTACAGTGACAGCTGTACTAATCACTACAGGATTTACCGTGATTTTTTCCCACAGTGTACTAAATCACAAAGTCTTTTATTCCTTATGAGCGTTAAGTATAGAACCTTAATGGTGCTGGATTCGACCTGTCAAATAGTCAACGTTTCTCTGCTGTCCTATTGTCTTTTTTATATGAAAATTGATGTAAATTTAAAATCAATATAAGACAGCCAAATGGTACGCGTCTTAACTGCCTGCTCCGTGAGTACCAGTTGGCCATGTACCAAGTTGACCGTTTTTTAAAATGTTTATCGTTTTATTAAAAATAAGAACATGTGGTTTTTATTGACGCTTCGTGCGTTTTAAATAAAGATGAGTTTTCTGTATGCCTTGTGTACCTTCGTATCGCCCCCCCCCCTTTCCCAAAGCCTTCAAAATCACCTACAGTAAAAACTATACGAAGAACCGCTTTGTAATACGAAGAGAATGAAGGCATGGTAAAATCTACGAAGAAATGCTCCGTATTACGAAGGATTTTGCTTCGTAATACGAAGCAAGTCTACAATGCCTTCATTTTCTTTGTAGTTACGAAGCAAATGCTTCGTAGGCTGAGTGTATGTAGGGACACGTCACGAAGATTGAGGCGTTGAAGCAGAATAGGCACGCATTTTGCCTATCTGGCAGGCGCCTGCCGGACCGAGAGCCGAGGACTTCCCTGGCGGAGCCGAAGGACTGTGTCCGAGCTTGGAGTAAAACTGTTAGGGAGTCCTAACTCGAGCTGCACCTTTCTGTTTGCCAACGCCCTGAAGGCTTGATTTTCAACTTAGAGACATTTCCAATAGCTCATTTTGTCACAAAAAGAGTGAGGATTTACGGGATGCAAACAGATTGGAGCTAACCCATACCGTCTCGGAGCTCAGGGCGTTTCTGTTCGTGGCACTAGGTGTCCGGCGAATCGTAGAGAGTAAGAGATAGTTTCGGAACTTTGCCACCATATAGCTCCTGACTGGGGCAACTTAGAAGGTTCTGGTTTTGAAAATTGGATTTAAAAGGCGGAGAAGATGAACGGGATGTAATCAGCATTAATGAATTCGGTCGGTTTCATAGGATGCATTACCGACCGGGTGGTTTTCTCTCTCTAGCATTCGCCAGACAGCTCAGCCCACCGCCGCGCCAGTTAGGACTCCCCACTGTATTACTCCAAGGTCCGAGCTAATGCTCTCACCCAGTCTTCCCCCTCCACCACCCTGCATCCTGCATTTCCCTCCTCCCCGCACGCTTCTTCACACACTCGAGTCAGAAGCGCCTCCCTCCCAGCAGCTGCTCCGTACTCGTCAGTGCCACTAATATGATCCGACAAAATATACCAAAACCTATGTATGACATCTTCTGAATAAATAGGAAGCGCCCAGTAAAGAAGTCGTGTTTCCCTCTGCTTGGAATTTCACACAATCCACAGACGACATATTTAGAAGTAGCTGTCAAAAGGTGACGGAAGTGTAAGGTTGGCAGTGTGTGACCGCGTCCGAGTAACCCCACAGGGCCGCGTTCGAGGATGATGCAGGGGAATACAGTCTGTGCTCATGCATGCACGCTTCAGAGAGGACGAAAATCGGGACTATAGAGATTTAACCGCAAAGCCTCGCGCCAATCCGTTTCGATAGAGGTTCTCGAAATACTACACGCCTGGAATTGACAACGTAACTACTGATACTTCTGGATTGAGCTTTGTGCGGTAACGCATTAGCAATTTCTCATATGTGTAGCCTCACTCCCAGACTCTGTTTATGTCAATATGAAAACGCGTCAGAGGGGTATTCCCCTCGAAGGTTTGCAATCACGTATCCTTTCTTCGTGCGGGCCGCATCCTCTTCGGTAGAGAAGCCGTGTTGAGTGTCATTATCATTCGTTCGTGAAACACATTGTGGTGAGTGAAGTATCGGTCTCTTTTTGGACGCTTTCGACTTGCAGTCGATGACAACCAAACCAGTGTTCGTTGAACCAAACAAATATCAGGTTATGGGCGGTTATGGGTGTACGTTCCCCCCAAATCCAACAAATAGTCTCTGTTCTGGGGCGTTGTTACACTCGGTTTGTCTTGAATTTCGTGTCATTTTTTTGTCATGGAGACGAAATCCTAAATTTAGTCCTGCCATGGTTTACGTACACCGTTGCGAATCTTGACGGAGTTGATCCTGCTTAGGCCTCCATGTCCAGCTGTCTGACCGTCCGGCCGTCTGTCTGTCTGGCCGACACAACAGCGCCTTCCGTTTTGTCTTATCAGCAAGTGTCGAGTGTCGAGAGGTCTCCCAGCCAGTCGCAAGCTGTATGGACGGTTGCAAACGGGTGCGGCTGGAAACTGAAGCACCAAATCCTCTCAAAGAGACTCAACACAGCGAATGAGCGAGTCTATAGTCAAAAGGAACTTTTGAGTCAGAACCCCTCGGGCTCGACCTCGGGCCACAGCTATATTCTTCGTCAAAATTTGGGTTATTAATCCTTTGTCACTCAACTTAAAGCGAAGAATTGGTCATTGTCAAGAAATGGTTTCTTCTGCTCGCTCAAAATTCGCGAAAGGAAGCATCACAATATATAAGTTGGTGAAGAAAGATAATAACTCGCTCACTCGCAGTGTACCCTGTTGAAAGAGTAGGAAAAAAGGGGAGGAAGCAGCGATGATTTTCAAAACGAAACAATACCAGGGCCGTTACGACAGCAGTTTGCACTCATGACGAAAACCCAAAAACTGTAGGTATACTTAAGTGTACGCCAGACCGTGTCTTGTAACAGGCTTCGCGATGCTGCGCCATTTACGACAATCCACGCCTGGCGTTTACATCTCCCTTGGCCTGCGGCGCTTTCTGCTTGCCTGTCACAGAAATTGATGTTAAAGCAGTGAGTAGAGCACTTTGTGGCACTTTCTGTGGCAGGCAAGCAGAAAGCCAGGCGTGGATTGTCGTAACCGGCGCAGCATCGCGAAGCCTGTTACGACAAGACACGGTCTGGCGTACACTTACCTCGTTCTAGCTGCTACAGTTTTTTTGTTTTAATCATGTGCAAACTGTTGTTTCGGCCCTGGTGTTGTTTCGTATTGAATAACATCGAGGAGGGAGGTGTGTCACAACGCGATACCTCCTAGCAACAGACACGTACTTCGGGCACGCTTCTCAAAACTCACGTACCTTCGGCAGCTTGTGCAACAAACACGCAGTTTCGCCATTTCTAGTCAAAAAGCACGCAGTTTCCGCATTTTCGTCCTGGCGGGCACGGAAATGCATTTTGGGTATTTTTCATGGTTGGGCTAGTGAGGGACAGTCACTAAGTCACCATTAATAACCTCAAAACGGTTTCAGGAGTGCATTGAAATATTACAGGATGTTTGGAGGTTAAAGGTGGGTCTATATTTGATCCAGGAAGCGGAAGAAGGGGATAACTCAATTTTGGCCATTTTTCAGGAGAAACAAAAAACTGTTAGCAGGGTAAACTAAAACAAAACAAATGAATGTAGAAGATATTAATAATTTTAAAAAGCATTGGTAAAATTTTGGAAAAAAAACAAAAGTGTAAGGTCACTCCGTAGAGGATTTCTGCGACTTATCACTTTCCGTTGAAATGGAAAACAGAGTCAGCTCACCTTATATTTCCTAAACAAAGAGGAATTTGGAGACAAGTCAAGTGGAACAATAGTCTGCATAAAGTGTATGTTACTCTGGTGTATTTTTTGAACTTAGCTCTTTTTTCCAAATTGAAATTTAAAATTCAGGGGGGGGTTAAGTTGAGTTGATTCTTTTTACACTAGATTCATAAAAATACAAGTTGAGTTATATCCTTTTGCCAATTTGTCAAACGGACTCATGTGGACTTCCGTTGAGTTATCTCCATTTTCCAATGAAATTTAGACCGTAAAAGGGGTTAAGTCGAGTTATACCCTTTTTCCATGTGGATTTTCTCCTTAACTGCTTGGAATTCAGTCAAATAATTTGGTGTGATGATGGAAACCATTCTAAGGCACAATAATAAAATAAAAACTCAATTTAGGGATAAGTCAAGTTATTCCCTTCTTCCGCTCCTGGATCATTTAACGACAGATCGTTCCTGAAACCGTTTCCAGGTTATCAATGGTGGCTTAGTGACTGCACCTCACTAGAACAACCATAAAAGTCACCCAAAATGTATTTCCGTGCCCGCGAGGACGAAAATGCGCAAACTGCGTGCTTTTTGACTAGAAATGGCGAAACTGCGTGTTTGTTGCACAAGCGGCTGAAAGTACGTGAGTTTTGAGGTCTCCGAAGTACGTGTCTGTTGCTAGGAGGTATCGAACGTTTGGCTGACAACTTGAGAGGGTCAGCACACCGCATTCAGGGCGCAGGGTCCACAGAAAAAAGAAAGACTTTAAATTTTCTAATGGTTCTGTCTCTTTTAGCATTTGATCAAGACTGATGGCAGCCATGGCGTCAGTGGAGACGATCAAACTGGATCCGAAGTCAGCTGAGTACCGAGACATAGCACAAAGTTAGTTTCATCATGGAGAATTCTGTCCTTGTTAATGCTTATAACATTAGCCTAACCAGTGTCCCATTTTCAGAATTCAACTCGAAATTCATCGTGAACCTCAAGAAGTGCGAGTTGCTGTCCATCGAGAGGGTCCGGAACGAGGCACTGGAGCAACGCTTCCGAGACAAGAAAAAGGAGTACGAGGACGCCTACGGCCAAGTCAAGGTTGTCCAAGGGTGGCACGGCACCAAGGAGGACAACATTGCCTCAATTTTGAAGAACAACTTTGATGTCTCCGCGAACGCCGGTAAGCTGACGGGAATGCACGCGCTAAATGTTACAATTTTGTACGTGGTGCTGCACGATTTTAAACATCTTTTGCAAATTCTCCATAAAATTGCTCAAATTTGCATAAACTTATGCATTTTTATGCATAACATTATGCAAATTTCAAGTATGCACAAAACCGTGCAGGTTGCGCGTATAAATTTCTATTTAGTGTACATCATGGCAGGAAGGAGGCAGTGATCCTTCTGGGGCGTTACATCTTTTTATGCCCAGTAACGATAGCTGGGGTCAGGGCGGGGGAAAATCAATCACTGCAGGAGCGGCGGAAAATCGTACACTTCTACTTTAGACTAAATTGTTTTATTTTGATACCAGGAATTACTCCCTGGTGGTAATTGGTAGCCTTCCCTATCACGTGTCTCTAAATGGGAGAATCCAGTCTAAAAGCGGGTTGTCCTATTATTTTTCCCTCGAGGTGTTCGCAGTTCTTCCCCGCATTGACTCTAGTCTTTTGTGCAAGAGGCGAGGCAAGAGGACATATTTCAGGCCTAAAACAGATGCTCCTCATACGTCTTTCCCACGGACATTGGTTTTTTGTGCCGAGAAATGTTCAAAGTAACGTGACACTTGGTCACATTCATTTGAACATGATGGCACCACTACAAATCCAAAGGTCAGACTTTACGCCTCTGGAGAGGCGAGACAAAAAGTCTCGCCACATTTTGGCGATACTTTCATGTCTCGCCACAATATGGTCAGATTCAAATGTCTCGCCAATTTATGGCGAGACTTTTTTGTCTCGCCAAAATATGACCCAAAATTATTGAATAGGGTAGGCAATGCATGGATTCATGGCAAAATAGATAAACTACTGCATTATTCACAAAATTCATAAGAAAACATTTCTGATCACCACTGATAGTTGTTTGACCCACTGGGGACTCTCAAGAGTAACGCTGTTTGTTTCGCTCATAAACCAAGAGGTGCGTCTTCACATAACAGGGCCGCTCACATTCAGTTTCATTGAAATCAGATTGTACTCACACTAATCACAGTAGCACTGTGGCTATGAAGAAATTTGCAGGCAGGTTGAGAGTTGATTCATCCAATAAAGATTGTGTACAAACATGTAGCTGTGAGTACTGTACAACTTGGTCCAGAGCACAGATGGTGTAGACTGTTGATGAACTAAACATTTTGACAATTATCCTTTTCCACACGCAGTTTGACAATAGCTCGAACGATAAAAAGACATCTTCGCGAACAGATAACCCAGTTGGCAACAGTCGTCATCGCTCCAAACTAGAAAAAACTTAATTTTATTGATGCAAAGTCGGGAGGAAAACATGATAACCAGCGGCCATTTCCTCAGGTTACTTTTGTTTACGAGATGTGAGGATGTGACTGCGAATACTGGTTTGGTCATGCGTATAATTTCCCAACCCGAATCTGAATCTAAATCGTCACGCCCATAACTGCCCATAACCTCTTCTGTCCAAAAACAAAAACATAGCCTCTAAAATGGCTGCCAGCCTCTGAGCGATTGTTTGACTTGCAACGATATAATTTAGTTTTTCCTAGTTTCGAGCAATGACGACTGTTGCCAACTGGGTTATCTGTTTGCGAAGATGTCTTTTAATCGTTCGAGCTATTGTCAAACTGCGTGTGAAAAAGGAGAACTGTCAAAATGTTAAGTTCATCAACAGTCTGCACCATCTGTTCTCTGGGCTAAGTTGTACAGTACTCAAAGCTACATGTTTGTAGACAATCTTTATTGGATGAATCAACTCTCAACCTGCCTGCAAATTTCTTCATAGCCACAGTGCTACTGTGATTATTGTGAGTACAATCTGATTTCAATGAAACTGAATGTGAGCGGCCCTGTTATGTGAAGACGCACCTCTTGGTTTATGAGCGAAACAAACAGCGTTACTCTTGAGAGTCCCCAGTGGGTCAAACAACTATCAGTGGTGATCAGAAATGATTTCTCGTGAATTTTGTGAATAATGCAGTAGTTTATGTATTTTGCTATGAATCCATGCATTGCCTACCCTATTTAAATAATTTTGGGCCATATTTTGGCGAGACAAAAAAGTCTCGCCATAAATTGGCGAGACATTTGAATCTGACCATATTGTGGCGAGACATGAAAGTATCGCCAAAATGTGGCGAGACTTTTTGTCTCGCCACATTTTGGCGTAATGTCTTTCCATTCAGTTTGCAGTGACGTTCCTGGAATGAGAGTGTTTGCTGGGTAGGAGGCGCACGCGCGGACCTCGGCTTAGCCAGTCTAATACTGCAAATTGGATGGAAAGACTTCTCGCCAAAATATGGCGCCAGACGGTTACGGCCTAAGAGCCGTGGCTAGACACAAAAGTCTCGCCATTTTGTGGCGAGACTTTTTCGTCTGACCATTTTGTGGCGAGACTTTTTTGTCTGACCATTTTGTGGCGAGACGTTTTTTGCCTGACCAAATTTTGGCGAGATTTTCAGATCTGACCAAAACTTGGTGAGACTTATGACTCGCCTCTGGAGTGGCGAGAAGTCAGACCTTTGGATTTGTCGTGAAGTGACCCACAACTTGTTATTTCATTTATTTTTTTGTGCAGGCCGACGCCATCGTTTTGGCCCGGGCGTTTCATTCTCCTCCTTGTCGTCGTACGCCTACAACTACTGCGACAAAAATACCCCCGAGGCGTGCATGCTTCTGGCCGATGTCCTCGTATCCAACGTCGTGGAGGTGGCCGAAAAGAAGGACAGACGGAAGATGCTGCGCGCGCCGCCCTGCCTGCCTGGCAGCTCTCTCCGCTACGACACTACCGCCAAGAACAAGGAACGCATGGACGTGTTCGTGAAGGCAGACAGGGACGCCTTCATGCCCACTCACGTGGTGCGCTTCAAGCGCGGCGCCACCCCAGCCCAGGCTCCTCCCCGCGCTCCGGCCTTCGCCCAGGCCCGCGCTCCGGCCTTCGCTCCGGCCCGCAACCTGCAACGCGCCCCGCCCCGGGCCCCGGCCCGCGCTCCGGCCTTCGCCCCGGCCCGCGCTCCGGCCTTCGCCCAAGCCCGCGCTCCGGCCTTCGCTCCGGCCCGCGCTCTGGCCTTCGCCCAAGCCCGCGCTCCGGCCTTCGCTCCGGCCTTCGCCCAAGCCCGCGCTCCGGCCCGCGCTCCGGCCTTCGCTCCGGCCCGCAACCTGCAACGCGCCCCGCCCCGGGCCCCGGCCCGCGCTCCAGCCCGCGCTCCAGCCCGCGCCCCGCAACGTGACCCACCCCGGGCCCCACAACGCGCCTCGGCCCGGGCCCCGCAACGGATCCCGCCCCGGGCCGCTCGCACTCAGGCAGCGAACGCGGGCTTGGCTCTTCTCATGGACTCATTAACCTTGGATCACGACTACAATGACTTTGACCTCATTGATCATTTGTGGAGCTATGACAACGAGGATCATTGTGATGGAGACTACGCTGATCTGTATTTGGATCAAGATTTCAATGTCGAGGATCCCGATACTCTGTTTTTGGATGACCTCTATCACGAGGATCCCGATACTCTGTTTTTGGATGACCTCTATCACGAGGATCCCGATACTCTGTTTTTGGATGGCCTCTATCACGAGGATTCCGATACTCTGTTTTTGGATGACCTCTATCACGAGGATCCCGATACTCTGTTTTTGGATGACCTCTATCACGAGGATCCCGATACTCTGTTTTTGGATGACCCCTATCAGGTGGATCCCGATACTCTGTTTTTGGATGACTGATCAGGAGGATCCCGATGATCTTTTTAGAGAGTAGCCCCTCACATTTTGACCTAAGCGGGATGCTCTGCACCTATCTCTTAAAGAAAGTAACATAATGTCTAGTTTGTGTTTTGTTTTTTTATTTTTAAAATTTTTTTATGGCTTTTTGTACTTAGTAAGTGTTTTTAATTCTATTGTCCTACTTTTGCTCTTGTCTTTGAACAAATAAAATGTACGTTCGTTTCTGAGTTCACCAGTTGTGTTCACGCCAAAACGTCACGGATCTTGTTTTCTCACGATTTCAGCAGTTTGGGGCTGTCAGGCTCAGGCCAGTACGGATTCTGCTACAGTACTTCAATTTTCTGTGTCTCTGCGCTGGCTCATGCTTTCCTTATAGCGTTTTGTGGCCACACACAAAATCTATGTGTGTACTCAGTACACACTTCTAGGTGCGTGCTTACAAGCATGCACTTCTAGGTGTGTACTTGCCCAAGCACGCACCTAGAAGTGTGTACTTGAATGAGTACACACTTTAAAGTGTGTACTCAGTGAGAACACACATAGAAGTGCATGCGCTTTCCCTATGCCGCGCATGCACCTCACAAGTGTAATACCCCGTAATAGGGAGTAGTCTGTACAAGGTTCACCGGAGTGTTTACCCCCTCGCACGCACCTAGAAGTGTGTACTGAGTACACACACAGATTTTGTGTGCAGACAGGGACAGATGTTTCGAGAATGGCGATGAATATTACATTTGCTTAAGTAGTAAAATGATGACCCTTGCCGTTTGACAATCGTCGTTAATTCGCCGATGCACATAACGCCACGCAGCAGATTGATTCCGAGAATCGTTTCCGTCACTGTCTCTCTCGCACTTGTGGGGCGTCCCGTATAGCGGGGAAAGAGACAGAGCGACGAAAACGACACTGCGAATGAGTCTGCAGTGCGTCCCCGTGGCGCTAGACGGCGCCAGAGTTGGGACTAGCCAAGAAACAGAAACCGACGCTACCCCGCTGCTCATTGCGCACACTGAGATTCCAAACGCTATGAGTGTCCAAACTCAGATTTTGACCAAAGCGGACTGCTCTGACCGATTGCGGCATTCCTTTTGGGGAAGTGCATTTGTCGCGAGGCCAATACTCGATGGCCTGACTCGCCGTCCACTGAAATCGTAATGGTCGGACACGTGGCCAAATTATGGCGTGTCAAAAAGTCGCGCCCAAAATTGGCGCGACACGAAATTTACGCCGATAAATGGTCACGCCCTTATTTGGCGTGAATGGCAACGTGCTTTAGGAGACAAGTCATGCCAAAAATCGGCATGACCAGAAATTCACACCCACGCCGATTTTTGGCGTGACTTTTATGTCATGCCGTTTATTGGCGTGACACTTTATTCACGCCCCTGCAGCGGCACGAAGTCACGCCGATAGATTTTCAGTGTCGTTTTTCTTTGTCATGACCCAAAACTGGTTTTCCCCGGTGAAACAAAAACAGTGAAGGTGCCACCTATTTCCTTTAAGTAGAAAAATAGTGTCTACATTTTTTGTTCGGTTCTTTAAACTTTTTTTTATGGCTGTTTGTAAGTTAGTATTTTTGATTCTCTGATCCTACTGCTACTCTTGTCTTTGAATCAATAAAAGTTGTGCTCTGTTCAAAGCATTCCGCTTCAAATGATCCACTGTGAAAATTTTGACAATTTTAAGGCCAATTTTGCTTACAAGAATGTTTTCAAAACATTCCACTCGTGAAACAAAGGCATTAAAATTATGCCTTTTCAGGGCGTACACGATTTACGCCCCTGGAGCGGCGTAAATCGTAAATGCCTTTTGGAAGGGCATTAAAATTTTGCTTTAAATTCCTATACCATTTACGCCCTTTCCAAAGGCTTAAAACGATTTATGCCCTTAAAAGGGCGTAAAAGAGTATTTATGCCCTGCACTGAAAAAAAAGTCTAGTAACGATAACCAGAATCCTGGTACCAAATACCAGACTGTCTGATAGAATATAACTCAACTAGAATTCTGGTAAAAAATACTAAACTGTCTAGTTGGCCTCAGTCTAGTAAACCGTACCAGATTTATAGTTATCCTCACAATGCCGCCAGGTCCCCTTCTGGTAGTTTTTACCAAACATCCTGGTTAGTTAATGTGCTTACAAAACTGAAGTACGAAGTCCAAAATTTAATAAAATATTTTTCGTAGTGACGAAACCTGATGTGACGTCGATTTCGTTAACGAACAACCTCTGAATTGTTTTTTTCCCTCCTCCTCTCCTCCGGATTCGAACCGGGATCTCACACTTGTGAGACGGGCACGTTACCACTGCGCCACCACGTCGCCTGTGGGTCGAGGGGATCCCCACCAGGTGACTCTCTACGTGTCTGGCTCAGGGAAATACTCCCAGTGTTTCTTTCGGATTTAAGACTCCGAAAATAATGAAACAGGTTGCAGTTTACTTTTTGACACCCGAACATTTCAATTGAAACGAATATTTCGAAGTTTTACGTATGGTGCCAATTACGGAACAGTCTGGTAAAATTTACCAGGATTATTAACCAGACACCTGGTAAATGTCACAACACCCGATCTGGTTACTGCAACTGATCATCTGGTGAGAGTTACTAGGATTCTCGTATGAGTGACTAGTACTCGTTTAACTAGGATTGGTCTGGTACTTTTAACCAGACTTTTTTCTCAGTGTGAAGGGTGTAATTTTTATGCCTTTGTTTTACCAGTGTTGATAATAAGATCCTCTCCATCCTGTCCACTTCTGACAATTTTTTCCGAGCTTTCAGATTTTTTTAAACTGTGCACTCCAATTCTCTTTGTGTTTGGTCGCTGATGTTCGCATTGTTTGTACTTTATGAACCCAACACCGTGATGTCTTTGTAACCAGGGACAGGTATTTTAATGATGGCGATGAATATTACAGGCGCTTAAGCAGCACTTTATGATCCTCTTGACAACTACCGTCATTACTTCGCCGATGCACATGCAAATTGGTCAACCTGCGGAATTCTGGAAGTCGTTTCCATAGCTGGAGTGAGGCGTCCCGTATTTTCACGAACGAGAAAAAGTGACGAAACCGACTCTCTTAATTGGTCTGCAATGCGTCGATCCGGCGCAAGACAGCGATAGAGTGGGTGGGAAACTGGCCTCAAAACAGGCTATACTGCGCTACAAACTGCACACATGCGAAGAGAATCTCGGGCTCCAACGTTCAATCAGTGCCTTGCCGTGCAGCCTTTCACGTCCATCCCCTGGCAAAAAGGCGCATATTAAATTTAATAAATAATTAATTTGTAATTAATTAATTTTTTATTAGAGTTGACTTTAATTAAATTTTGTTAAATGCTAATTAAATCTTGTTAGTGGCCAAGAATGGAGCTATCTATGAACACGAATAGACTAATTAATAGGTCAGGCTGAAATGAAATTTAATTATTTTTAATATGTGAATAATAAGTTTTAATTATATTTAATTAAATTTATAAGCGCTAATTAGACCTTTATTAAGCTGTAGTTTAATTAAAACACATGATTTAATTAAATCCCTACCCACGTTAATGAAAATGTTGCAAACCAGTAAGAGAATCAGTGTTGAGATCTGTTATTAGAGTGTGAGACGGCATTCTCCATGGCCGCCCAATTCTCCAACATTTGTGTGTCAGAGGCAAGTTTAAAAATCACATCACACTTCCTTGAGCGCGATGGAGGAAAGTGAATAGCCTGCGCGACTAGTGCATGTGGCGATGTGAGTCAACACCGCGAGCTAAGGGACTAAAGTAGACCTCAGCGCCATCTAGCGGCGGACAGACTTTTATTAAACTTAATTAAATCTTGCAGGGGATAACACCATAAAGTTCCTTAACATATGGCAACACCTACTTACTCGAGAGAGGATTTAACGACGAATAGGACTCGACACTCTTGTTTGTCACCGGACCTTTCAAAGAAACCTTTAAATCACACTTAACATTAACTACCTAAAGTCTTTATTAAAAATGATAATAAAAGCTAATAAATGTTTATTAAACCCTCTTTGTTAACAAGTTTTAATCAACATTTAAAACCTTTTATAAACGGTACTTGTTAAAATTAATTAAAGTCAATAAGCACCCGTGATAAAATTAATTAAAACACAGCCCCTAATAAAAAATTAATTAAGAATTTATTAAAATTTATTAAATGTTAATAAAAGTTTTTTACGAGGGTCGTCCGTGCTGCAAGACATGGCGCTGCAAGTGCTGCCGCTGGCCGTGGTGGGCGTCGTCACCGTGTTCCTGGTGCGCTTCCTGCTCGGCTACCTGCACTTCAGGAGGCTGGAACTGGCCATCCCCGGGCCGCCCTCGCTGCCGCTGCTCGGCAACGCCCTGGACGCCGTCCGCACGACACCGGACACCATCATGAAGACCATCCTCCGGCTGGTAGACGGCCGAAGCGAGATGCGCAGAGGGGCCATCTTCAACCACTTGATTGTGGGGCTCCAAGACCCCGCGGACATCGAGGAGCTGGTACGCCGCAAGGTCTTCAACGACAAATCCACCTTCGGGTACAAACTCTTCGAAGACGCGCTGGGTCCGAAAGGCCTACGGTGCCGAATGGAAGGCACACCGCAAGTGGCTCGCACCCGGCTTCAACCAGCACGTCCTCAATAGCTTCATGAACGTCTTCAGCGAAGAGGCCAAGGGCTTCGTGGACCGCGTGGAAGTTGGAATAACCGTAGACGTGCTCGACAACCTTCGGAAAACGGTAATGAAAGATTTCGTCCGCACATCCGTGGCTGCCGACGGCTCGCAGTTTGACGATGAACTTTTAGATAGCGGGGAGTTTCTGGATTTGTTCTTCCGCTCTGTCAACGCACGCTCCTTCAATCCGCTGCTGTGGTCCTATTTTATATTCGCGTTGACTCCTCTCGGCAAGAAGATGAACAAGATGAAGAGCACATTCGAGTCGCTGTGTAGAAGGGTCGTCACAGCAAAGAAAATGGAACTGAAAAGCAGCGACAAATGTGACTTTAAGCTTGAGCAGTCTCGCAACACCCTTATGGACATCTTGGTGAGGGGCCCCGGAGCTGGACTTGGAATGCAAGTGACGGAGCAGGACATCATGGACGAGTGCAAGACCTTCTTGGCCGCCAACGTAGAGACGACGGTTTCCGCGCTGTGTTGGATGTTCAAAGTGCTGTCTCTGAAGCAGGAGGTGCAGGAGAAAGTGCACGCTGAACTAGTCTCTGTGTTCGGAGACAGTGACCGACTTGTCACACTCGAAGACCTGCCCAAGTAAGTAGACAGGCAAAAAATTTAAAATTACAACATTACAAAATTACAACAAATCATCACGCTTTCAAGTTTACGAAGTATTTAGCGCAAATGTAAGTTGCACGCTTAATGTTTAGGTACAATTATATGTACTTTTTGATGCATGATTAACATGTGTGCCACTTTTATGTCCGTAAAATTGTGCTCAAATTTGCTTACATTTGTGCACTTTTACGCAAAATAGTATACAAATTCCACGTATGCATAAAATCGTGCATTGACACTTCTTACAAAAATTCTGTCCATACGATTTGTGTGTACACACTATTAAGTTTGTCATACGAAGAAATAGGATTGTACAAATATCGGTAAGATTCAAAGTTACGTCAGTTACGGTAAAAAGCTGTATTTTACCCACGGTGTAATAGGGTAAAATTGATTATTTGTTTTGTTTTTCGAGATTAACTGTTATACTTACGAAGTTGACACCGTTTTTACCAAGGACCATAGAGAACCCGTTGAGGGAGTGCGATTTTCCGCCTTGGGTTGGGCGCAATGGCTGCCGAAACTCAGTCCAAACCACGATATCTATTTGTTACCTTTTTGACCAACTTTGCGGCAATACTGCTGCTTTCAAAATGAACAAAAATCACACATTTACCGAAAAATACCAATTTTACCGGGGTATTTTATTTTATCGCCGTACAAAATATCGCAAGAGTGGTAAGGATTCTATTTCATTTTTTTTCAGGCTCAAGTACCTCGATTGCGTCATGAAAGAGATCATGCGCCTGTTTCCGCCCGTCCCGTTCATCGTTCGCCAGTGCCATGAGGAGACCAAGCTGTGCGGCCACACCATCCCAGCCGGCAGCAGCGTCGGCATCAACATCTTTGCCGCGCACCGCGACGCGAAGCACTGGGACAAGCCCGAGGTGTTCGACCCCGACCGCTTCCTGCCCGAGAACTGCAAGGACCGCCACCCCTGCGCCTACATCCCCTTCAGCACGGGCCCCCGCAACTGCATCGGCCGCAAGTACGCCATGATGAACATGACCACTATCCTCGCCACCGCGCTGAGGGCCTACAAGGTGCTGCCCGTGGACGACCACAAGGACCTGCAGAGCCTCGCCGACAACATGACCTTCGCCCTTTCGTCCCATCTCGTGGGCGGCGTGCGAGTCAAGTTCCAGGCCAGGGGTGCCGTGGTTGCGTGATGTGGAGCAGGCACTACACTGCAAAGCCAGTGGTAAGTTTGCTTGCCACAAATTTGGCAAGCCGTTTTGAATGCCAAAATTTGGCAAGCTTTGGTCGGAAATCTTCACAAGCTTGCCAAGCTTGGCAAGCTGGGTGGTATTTAAGGGTCAAACTTGCCAATTTTCGGCATTCAAAACGGCTTGCCAAATCTGTGGCAAGCAAACTTACCACCGGCTTTGCAGTGTAGTTTGAGATCAGGGGGTTATACCGTCAGAAAACCTACCTATGTATGGAAAAGCCACAATTCCTACGAAACTGAATGAAAAGACGACTTGAGGCGAAAGAAGAGGCAGAAAAGATCTTCCCGAACATGACCGACGGCCGCCGTCGGCTGCTAGCACCTATGAAGGACCGTCCGCCATGTTCGGGGAGATCTTTTCTTCCTCTTCTATCGCCTAGCTCAAGTCGTCAATTATCTTTCGAAACAACCATGAAATATTTTTCGATAAAGTGACTCTAGCATTCTAAAAGTATCCGTGACAACCATGACTAAAGTAATTTCTCTCTCGAAAGGGAATTTGACGTTCGATTACGACGGCAAATCCCGCCGGATAGGTACATTCCCCGTCTTTATCTATCAGTTGTTACATGAATCAAGAATCTTTTTTCATTCGCGCCGAAGTGAGGAGGAGGTGCCGACTCAGACGCATCCGTCGCTGAACTGTTAGAACATATTCTAATTTTCTACTTGAAACCCTAAAATTTGTGTTGTCATTTTTTATGGATGACGATGTGGTGTTAAGTTACGAAAAGACGTCACAATTTCTTTATTTTCATTCATTTATTTAGTGATAGTGATTACTATAGGGATAAAATGTATTTTTTTGCAAAATGACTGCTGCCGTTGTATTAAAATATATGAGTGCACAATGTCAATCTTGGTGAATGCTCAAATCAATTTGCGCTTATCATTTTCAGTCTCCACTCATTTTCACTGTAATCCAGTTCAAGGAGCACGAAAGTCCTCAAAGCCGCCCTCGAAGGGTTGCTGACTGCTGAAAAGAGCGGGAAACGCGCAGTGGGCTGCCTCGTCTTGCCTAAGTTTGTACGTCCAATGCGCGGTGGTCGTGGTGATGTAAAGTTCAAAATTTTTTAAATACCTTCACTTTGAAAACCTTAAAAACTATTTGAGCCTTACGAAGTAACAAGGTTTTCGAAGCATACATAAGCTGACATAGAAATTTCGTAGTTTACGAACTAGTATTCCTTCTTGTAAGGAAGTAAATTTGTGTTCAGTAATACATGCTCTAAACACTTAGTTTTTCGCGTGCCCACATTTGTCATATCACATTATCTTAGCACCCTTGTCTCCAAAAGGCAAATATTTTCAAAAAAATTCGACACGAGTTTGTTTTCTACTTTCTCAACCAGGGAAAGTGAATCAAAAACTCCAGTGGTCCAAGCTTGTAGCGCAGAGCGGCAGGCGAGCAATGGTGCCGCACTTGGGTCGGAGCGGGTTTCAAACGCAATTAGACAGGCGCCTTGACTTGAGCCCACCCCACCCGCGGCGCGGAATGCCTCCAAGCACAAAGGGTGGCGTGCATCGAATTAAGTTGCGGCGTCGGCATTGAGCTTTATCAGGTGAAAAGATGGCGACCGAGACGTAATCCCGCGGGCTGGTTCCGAAAAGCGCTTCCATCGCTTGTCTCTCTCGCACTCGCGCGGCGCTCCGCAGAGGTGCGAGAGAGACAGAGCGACGCCTGTCCGGAATCAGTCAGCTGGCGCACGCTCAGCACATTCTCCTGTTGGAAGTTGGTGGCCTGCCCCGCCCTGTCCTCCGGATTTGTTCCCAGTCGCAGGAGTTAGGGATGAGCGGGCGGGGCGCGTCTCGCGTCGAACAGCGCGGAGCGGCAGGCTCATTCCCGACAGAACTTTCGTCGCTCTGTCTCTCTCGCACTCATGAGGCGGCCCGAAGAGCTGCGAGAGAGCGCGCGCGTCAAGAGAGCGCTGTTCGGAATCAGTCTGCAGCGCGGGCGGCACCGGAGAGGAATCCACCAGCTTAGGGATCGTACCCATATTACGTGACCGATTTTAGGTCACTTTTTGACCCCCTCCCCCTCGCGACCTGGATAACCTAACCTTTCCAAGATGGGGCGTCGTATTTGGCTAGAACTCCCCCCCTCTCAAATCGGTCACATGATGTGGGTACGGCCCCTTAGGAAATGTGCAGAAATGTGTTAATGTTTTTGTACAAATTTTGTACAAGACATCACAGTTTTTTGTGCACACGAACTTTTCTTATAAATTTGCACAAAATTTTGTACAATTTTGTACAACAATAGCGAAAAATGTGCAGTTTTTCGTACGAAAATTGTACGAAAATTTCGTGTGCACAAAAAAAAACTGTGAAGTCTCGTACAAAATTGTACAGAACATTTAGTGTGCGACCTAGGTCAGTCGGACAGACTGCCAGACCAACGCCCAGAAGCCATTCTGGCATGGGCGACCGGTGGAAAATTTATTTTCTGCCCGGTGCACCGATTTAATAACACGTTATGGTAGCTGGACACGTTCGGTTGCGTGTCACCATTGGCATACACAAATTTCTGAAAGGCTGACCAGGTGCCTATTGCCTACACTGTATTTTTCACCGTGGGCCCCATAGTGATGGGGACAGATAGCCGCTCTGTCTGTGCGCTGCGGTCCAGCTTTAAGGTGGCCCCACAATGGCCGAATTCAGACGGCCGACATGCACCCGACAACCACACGACATCTGTTAAACGGCCTAGGGTCCGTGTTTTTGCACTTATATATTCCCACAGAGATTCTAAATGCTCTCTCCCACACTCAGAAGCCAATACATTCGCGATATTTTATAATCCAAAGGCATTCCGTAGGGAAGGGGAATGCGGTACCAACCTGACGAACCCCCCCCCCCCCTCCCTACGGAACGCCTTTGGATTATAAAATATCGCGAATGTATTGGCTTCTGAGTGTGGGAGAGAGCATTTAGAATCTCTGTGGGAATATATAAGTGCAAAAACACGGACCCTAGGCCGTTTAACAGATGTCGTGTGGTTGTCGGGTGCATGTCGGCCGTCTGAATTCGGCCATTGTGGGGCCACCTTTACCAAGCGCCTGCCAGGTAGGCCAGCCACCCGCCCCGCAGCACACTGGTGTGAGGACGGTGGTCTACCTTGCCCCTGCGAAGATTCCCCTGCGTTGCACTGCGCAGCGTCTGCGGCCCTGTCGCTGTCGGGCCGCGGCAGGGAACCCTGGGTCACAAATTGATACAGAGAAGCCATTGATATTGCAAGAAAATCAACTTAAAGTGAAACAAAATAAATTTATCAGTAAAGTGCGAGACGCCACTTTGAGCAGTGGACGGAACATGTATCAAAGTGTAACTTCCACAAATTTAAGGACTTCTCTTATGATAGTTTCACTTTCACATGATAGACTAAGAACTTAAAAATGAAAACACGAGGAAATGAAAACAAAGAATTAGCTGTTTTTTTTTTATACAATTTTGGTGTAATGATAGTGAGTTTGAAATCTTCGCAACTTGCGCGCGTGTCGTCTGCTCTGAGAGCCTCCGGTGCGGTATGAGAAATACAGGTTGTGTGTGTTTGATATTTCTCTTTCTCTCGCGGTGTTCATTAAGATATTCGCCGTTTTCTGTGTTAAAACAGTACCTGGAAACAATGTCAAGACTAGGATTTGTCTCTTCCAAGTGTTTTACATTGGCAAGGCAACCCTTGTTCTCCACTGTCAAGAGAACATTTTTATCAGAAGCTTATCAATGTAGAGATGCATGGGAGAAGAGGTTAGAATCGCCCATTCTCAAGAAAGTAAATGTTACAACTTTGTACCAAGAAATCGATTTGCAGTATTCGGAAACTGGCTCTGTAAGTTCTCTCGATGCTGATATTTTCATTAATGCCAATACCAAAGATGGTTTCATGGAAGATATAGAAGATGTACTTATAAAACTCCGACGCTGCCCAGACACCTCGAACACTTTCCCTTCAACACATCATGGTGCTATTCGACTCCTGCTTGATGCTGGTAAAACAGAAAAGATTCTTCACACCATCAGTGATAGATTAAAGTTTGGTGTATTCCCAGATTACTACTGTCTCAATCTGCTCATGGACACGTTTCTGAAGCAGGGGAAGTTTGCCGCTGCAGCAAGAGTAGGAGTAACACAAATGATTCAAGAAGATTGGTCGAATCAATTGACAAATTGTTTGTCCATGTACTCCTGCCATATGTTTTTAAGAAATCAGGATCAAGTGTGGTATTCTGATGAAGAAAAGACCCTGATGACCCCAGCGCCTGAACCCAAGGATGTCGTCAAAATACGAATTAAATTTATCCGAAATCCATACTTTGATGATCATTTTGATCTTCAAGATCCATTGGTATTGGTAGGAAAAACTCTTTGGATGTTTTGTCCAAAGATAAATGGGAGTGAGCAGCTGACAACATCCTACAAGCTATTAGGTTTGACACTGCACCAGAAATGGGATCAAGTCATGGATCTGGCCAAGAAGCTGGCAGATTCAAAGAAGCCTATTCACAGGTTTGTGGTATCTTGATCTTAGACTGAGCGCATATTAATAAGTGTTGTTTTAGTTAACGAATTTACATACTTTTCTTAACAGAGAAGCCATTGATATTGCAAGAAAATCTCTTGAGCCAAAGCCTCAACCTGAAGAGTCTGCAACTGAGGCCAGTAAATCAGCCAAGCCTGCTAAACCTGATCCTGCAAAGGAGGCTAAAGAAGCAGCCTTGAAAGCGGAACTGGAGGTGAAGCAGAAAGTTTCTGATGTACTTGGAGGGCTAGAAGCATCAGCTATCAGTGAAGACATGTTAGCTGAGGTGTCATCACTTGTCAAGGAAGCTGTGAAGCTCCAAGAAAGCAAATTAATCGAGGAGCAAAAAGAGGTACGCATTCTATATGTTGTCTCCAGTTGTATGTGTTCTCGACCCTGCCTTAGTAGGACTTTGTTATAAGAAAGAAGTATTGTACTCGGTGTTCATCATTTTTACTACTTTTAGTAATGGAACTAATGTTTTTGCTTTTTCCTGTTTATTTTGTTGTTCACAGCTATACACTTCTTGGGATAAAGAACGGGTTCTAGCTTTAAGAAAACACCAGGAAGAAGTCATGAAGGAAGAAGCTCTCAGACGCATTGATCAGCAGAAACTGGAACTTGTGGAAAAAGAGAGAGAAATCTTCTTCTTTGATAATCAAGATAAGCTGGATTTGATGATCGAGAAAAATGAAGAGATATTCAAAGAAATTGAAGAAAAAGAGAAATTTACTAAGGAAATTCAAGCAGCTAAAGATGCAGAGTATATTCCACCAGATGTTAAGAAAAAGTTTCAACAATAATGTATGCTTTCTGTTATGTTTCTCAAGTCATTTATTATAAGCAAACACGAAACTCTTTAAATTTTTGTTTTTTATTGACCTTATGATGTTACACACATCATTCTTTTAACTAGGGTGCGTTTCCTAGTTCCCCATTGAGCCATGAGGTATGTGAAAATCATAAAAATTGAATCAAACTCATTAGTTTATCAAAACAAACATATTTTTATTTCACTTTGGTTGGAGATAATTATCACATCCTCATTGATTAGCACAAATACCCTGACAGAATAAGAAGAGAAGTTAATTTAAAATTATTCAAAATCATAATTGACTATTACAAGCAATCTTTTTCAGTTAATATTTGTACACTGTACATATAAAAAATAGATGTTACTGTTTTCATTTTATGAACAGGTAATGAACACAGCAAAACAGGACAGCACATTTGTTTCCATTTAACATTCACAAAAAGAAACAACAATTAATATCATTCAAGCCCACTCTGAAAATTACTTACAAATAGTTAAAAACATTTCATAAAGATTCAGCATAAGCTTCTTTACTCTCTGACAGAGCTCGGGATTCGTGGACTAGAACAGCATAAGAGACACCCTGGATGGAAAACAAAAATAGACATTATGGCTGCTCTAAGGATTGAAATATTCCAACTAATTTAATTCTTGTTGTTTAAATAAATCACCTGCGATTTTGCAGCTCTCACAAAACCTTCATTAGCTGTGACTGTGATGGCACGAAGTTCATCCCCTGTGCCAAATATCTTTCTGGATCTTGGTTTCACCTTCCCACCTTCTCGTAAGTATTGTTCAGTTCTCCTTGACATTTTGTCAGGAACTACATTAACACGCTTCAAGAGTAATTCTGCTCTCTCTTTTTCAGCTGGACCTCCCAAAGTTTCAATGATGTTTCTGAAATCCTTATGTGCTGTGCTACAGCAATATAGAGTTCTCCCTGAAAATAATGAGGCATGGACAACATGATGTCAACACAAGTTTTGTCATGCTTACAAGAAAAAAAGGGAACTTCAGAAGTGGCTACCTTGGAATATTTGATCGAGCAGGGGTTTGGCTGGCCGTTTTCTTTCCCATTCCGCTTGCTGTGTCAGCAAAGGCTCCTTGAATTTGTAGTGACATCCACCATTGGTCAGTGAAGACACATAGGCAATCATGGCAGTTACATCAAGATTTAATCTGTCCGCTTGTCTTGGGGTAAATTAGTGGAGGTAAGTTGAGTAAGAAAAAACAAAATAAGAAAAGGAACTAGAGTAATTCACCGAATTCCTTGTAGGGTACAAACCTGGAGCTGCTGCCAACCTCCTCTCCGCAACAGGGATATTCATCAATTTCAAAGCTGCTGTCACAATCACCTTCACAATCTTCGTCAGAGCTTGCATCGAAGTCAGAATCGCAGGAGTCATCTTCATGAAGACATTGAGCTTTACCTATGCGATTTCCCCTGACTTCTAAACCCAATTTTTCCAAAGAAGTAGCTAAAGGGATTTCTATTCCATTGGCAAAGTGAAAGGCGACCTAAATAGATAAAGCATTAAGTAATTTCAATAAATCATACAAGAGTAAAGCCACAATCCAAAGGTCATCATCATTACTACCTTAGGAGCTTTGAAATGAAATGGATGTTGAGAAGCGCAGGCAAGAAATTCCTTGGCTTGGTCAGTTACAGTCCTTTGCCCATATTCACCTTCACCTTTATGAAAGAAAAAAAAGAGATATAAAGATGTTAGCACATTTACAACAAGAAAGTCTCTTGAAATAAATAGTACAGTGTTAAAGTAGAACTTGGTGACAACCGGACAACAAAACACAATTAGAGGGCACTGTGTATAAAATTTTCCTCTCCTCCTCAAAATATTGCAAAACCAAATGCAAGATTTAAAAAAATTAAGGACAAACCTGCTGACAGAAGGGAAAGTGCTTTCGGATTACGAGCAACAACCTTAATCCATGTTCGGCCATTGTCAGCAACAACATCAACACATACTCTTTTACTTTCATCACTGGTTCGTAGTTCTAGAGTTTCTAATATTCCATTACAGCCATCACAGTTCTCTAAAATGCAATTGACTAAAGCCTCCAGATGTCCTAGATTTGTACATTTCACATGTTCTTTTTTAACATCATGTTTCTCCAACACCTGAAATAAGATATTCATTAGTAAACTCAGCTGTGCAAAGATCAGATTAATCGAGAAGATTCACAAACCTTCCGGAGAAAATTAGTTTCTTGCTGTAGCCTCTTCATAAGCTTTTGACAGCCTCTTACATGAGACACTTCTGACAATGATGACATTAGCTTCTCTCCCAGGACGATTTTGGTCTCGAGTTCTTTTTCTAGAGCTATGAAAAAAGATAATAGTGAGACCTTGGTGTTGTCCTTGACTTTTGTGGTAATGTCATACATAATTCCTTGATTAGAATTGAACTCATAACTAAACATCGTTGGAGGGACCCGTCGAATATGAGCAGTTTAGTGGGCTTCCCTTATGCTGTTTCAAGCAAACTCTACCACAAACTACAAAGTGACAGCTCTAAATTTAACCTCAAAGTAACTCTTTTAATAAACATTGAAGAATATACAGACAGTGGAGAGAAGCTACTAATATCTAGAGCAAGGGAGGTCAAGCTTTCAATTTTGAGCATGGCGTCTGGAAAATGAAACTTACACATGACTCCTGAAAAAATAAAATTTTCTGATCGTATTGGAGACTTTGTTTGTGTTTGGATTTGGAGGCGGGCGGGGGCGGGGTAGGAGGGGAGAAGGACAGGCAAGTGCAGCAACACACAAAACGAAAAAGAGCAAAGTAATCCTCTGTCAGTCTACTATTGTTTCATTTTCCAGTTTTAAAATTTATACGAAATAGAAGAGTAATGTTTTAATCTTCGTTGCAGCTACTTGCGCATCATTCATTTATGACAGGTGTTGTCTATATTACCGTTGAGGTTAAACAGCCTGTCTAATCGTCAGTGGCGCGAATTTCTAGCAGTTTCGAAGTTCCAGAGTTGTAATGGTATATTGCATTGTTTGTAGTGCCTCTGCGATCAGCTCGGTCGGTTCCTCTCGTTTCAATTTTGAGTGCGAGACACATTGTACCATTGCCTGATCCGCTTACCGATGGCAAAACGTTACATAAAGTGAAAAGCCCAGACCCCAAATGACTGCAAATAGTCCGTGGACCTGCGTATAGCGGCCCTTCCCTCCCTCCCCTCCCTCTCCCCTCTCCCCACGGTCGTGTTGTTTTGAGACGTTGGGAGGTTAAGAAGTAGTCGCGTCCGTCTGTATTTCTTCTTCTCGTGAGTGACATGCGGGCGACTAGAAGGCAGATCGCCGCAGGGCAAACTGCGGCGCAACAAGCGCGACCTCGACAGGTTGTCAGTAACCGCCCAGTACGGAGGAAACCGTGGGCATCGGGGCCACCGCGGCGGCCAGGGCCGGGGAGGCCGGGGCCAGCACCGCGGCCGGGGGCATGGACATGGCCATGGTGGACGGGGCGGCGCTTACCGCGGCCCGGCGCACACCGTCGGACCTCGCCTGGCTGAAGCGGACGTCGGAATCACGGAGTTCATCAGCCAGCACGAAGGATTTTCGGCTGTCATGAAGCACAGGTGAGGCTCGCAATGTCTGTGGGCCCTTGGACGTACCTGTCAAATCCATCATTGTGTTACGCCTGTTTCAGATTCTCTGATTTTCAAGTGAATGAAATTGACAGCGAAGGCAACATTGTGAAACTGACATCCTTGGAGACACCAGTCGAAGGTATTCACTATTTGTTGGCCGCAGCTGCATCGTATTTCTGTGATTTGTTCTTCTTTGAGTTTAATATATCGTCATTCCTGTTTTAGGACATGAAACTGCTGCGCCAGTGGAACGGCATGAACTCATACCACAAGATATTTGGGACAGAATTAGTGTCATGGTCAAGAAATTCAAAGCCAGAGAATACAAGAAATGGGACCCAACAGCCTCTGATGCTTCCTCAAGTAAAACTGTAGCAGAGCCAGTAGGAAACCTGACGAGCCTGCAGTTGATGGAAAACCATCTGATCAACATGAAAAAGTACTTGATAACGAGCCTGAATGTTCATCAGTTGTAGAGACAGTTTCACCATCTAAAAACGAATTGGATCTATCCAAGGACAAACCCTGTTTGCCTGCTGATTCAAATCCGGATCCTGGTGCAAGCAACTCCTCAGCAATCAGAGAGGCCCGTCCGTGTGTTGAATTTGATGTAAGGAATATAGAAACGAGTGTTGTTTACAACAATGACTCCATTGTAGTCTGAGGCCATATGTTATAAATTTTACTCAGCACTGAGTGTAATATTATGTATTTTCTCTGCAGGTTACTGCCCTGGACAAAGATGGTAGACGTTCAGTTCATACTTGTGTAAAATCAGCTTTCAAAGAGATAAACAGTAATACTAAGGAAGTGGATGGGAAAAAGTTTGTTATCTTTACTGTGGGGAAAGGTAAAACCTGTAACCAAGCCTAGTTTCTTGTGCTGTTATTAGTTGAAGGAAAGATAATCCAGCCTTGCACTGTAACTTGCTGCAGTTTTAATAATTTTTGTGTATGTTTTTCTCTTTTAGGTGAGAAGGGGCAGAATAGGGGAAAATGGCCCTCATCTCGAAATGGAGAATATCTACATTTTGTGGTTCACAAAAGAAACATGGACACCACTGAGACCGTAAATGTCATGTCTCAAAATCTCTGGTGAGTTTCAATCCACTCTCACTCATCTGAACTAAAACTAATTCATCACTTGTTCTTTAGTGGTGTTTGCATTAGAGTGTGCCTAAGTTCTTAGGATTTTTGTTTTTCTGAACCAGGGTGAAGGCCGGTGCTATAACTTTTGCAGGCACAAAGGACAAACGTGGAATCACAAGCCAACTTATGTCCATCAGACGAGGAGAGCCTCACCGTCTCTACAAAATAAGCAAAGGCATTCATAATGCGTACTTCGGAAATTATTGTTTTAAAGAAAAACCATTGCGTTTAGGTGATTTAAAAGGGAATCAATTCCGCATTGTCCTAAGGTACCTTTCATTAAATTTTAAAACTTACTGTAACTTTGTCTGTTCAAGTTCCAAAGTGATATGCTTTTATCAACAGGCATGTGGATGGATCTGAAGAACAAATAAAATCCGGGCTAGAGTCTTTGAAGAAAAATGGTTTTATTAATTATTATGGTTTGCAAAGATTTGGAACCAACAAGGCTGTTCCAACTCACAGAGTAGGGAAAGCTCTCCTTCTTGGAGATTGGCAGAAGGTCAGTAGGTTCAATCTATTTTAATTAGCTTGAACTAGTGACTATCATTTGTCACCATTATATGATTTTTATCATTCTAGGCCATTGATCTAATACTAGAACCTCGTGAAGGTAATCCAAGCCTCAAAGTTGCATTGGAGGAGTGGAAGTCAAGTAAAAATGCTTCAGCTGCTCTGGAAAAATTAGATGGTCAATCATCATGTCTAGAAATCCTTCTGTTAAGAGGTCTCATGAAGTATGGGCCTAAAGATTTTGTCAATGCTTTGACAATGGTGATTTTTAAACCAATTTTCTACACGACAATGTATTTATTGAGTTAAATTATGCCTGAAAAAAAAAATCCCTTGTAAAAACGTGTTTCAGATTCCTTTGAATACTCGTCTTATGTACCTACATTCATATCAAAGCTTGATATGGAATAAAGGTGTATCGTTCCGTCTAAGAGAATTTGGCTTAAAACCAGTTGTAGGAGATCTGGTGGTAGTAAAATGGGAAAAAGATGCCAATGAGGACTCCAATAGCAATACAGAGAATAGTGCCCCATTAGATTCTGAAGTGGCTGTTGCAGAAAGTAAGTTTGGCATAGCATACCTTATCTCACTTAATGTATTGTTAGCTGACTGAACATGTTTATACTTACTCTCTGTTGCTGTTGTAGGTGCTACAAGACAAGAAGTTAAGTGTATAACTGAAGAAGACCTTAATAACTATAAAATTACAGACATTGTGTTGCCTCTTCCGGGGTATGATGTTGTGTACCCTAACAATAGCGTGGGAAGTTATATGAAGGATTTATTGAAAGATGACGGGCTGACATCAGAATCAATGCATCAACAAGTAAGGCAAGTACTGTTCAGAAAATAGAAAGCTGATAACGTATTTTGGCAGTGTGTGAAATACCGTATGTACTAACTAAGCAACCTTCTTTATATGCAGGCAATACTCAGTGAGGGGAACATATCGCCCAATAATCGCTCCAGTTGATAAGTTATCTTGGAAAATTGTTCATTACAATGATACTGAAGCAGATTTCATAGCATCAGACTATGATGAAATGATGAAAGGAAGACAATTTGCAAAAGATATCCCTGGTAGGAGTTTCATCTTTAGGTAAAATAATGCTTAAATTTGCAAAAAATAATGTTTTTTCCTTTGTTTTAGATGGTAAACACAAGGCTCTTATCATCACCATGTGCTTGGAGCCATCAACTTATGCCACAATGGCTATTAGGGAAGTTACAAAGAAAGATACATCAGCAGTGATTCAAGCATCAATGTCTGCAGCACACTCTATCAAGAAGGAAGATGTCAGTGTAGTGAAGGTAGAAACTGTAAGTGATTCAAAAGGGGAACCTGTCAGTGGTGTGGGAGAAGTCCCTGCCAGAGATTTGAAAGAAGAGCCCACCAGTGATTCAAATGACGAACCTACTAGTGATTCTAAAGAAGAACCTGCCAGTGATGTTAAAGAAGAACCCATGGTAGCAGAAAGTGTTAGCATGGAAGTGAATGGCAGTGAGGATAGCACAGCAGTTTCAATTGAGCAAAATAGTAGTCTCAAGAGAAAAGGTGATAATATTTCTGAAGAGACAGTTCCAGAGAAGAAACCTAAAGAGAATTAAATATTTCTCAAATATGTTAAGCGGCATTAAGTCTTTCAAAATTTGACTTTGTATACTTCTGACGATTGCGCTGAAACCTTCATAATAAATTCGCTGTGACTCATTTTTTTTTTTTTTTAGATCTTTCAAATTGATTTGTCTTGTTGTTTTTTCAGTGGACTTTAAATAGTATATTTGACAAAAGTTGAATAGCCAAGTTTATTTTTTAGAAAAATTAACAATGAATTTAAACTAATAAATAATAAATCTAATTTAAGTGGAGAAGCCCATGGCTACGAAAATTGGCTTGTTTACTAAAGCCCCTTCCACACACATCGCAGCGGAACGGCCACTCGCCAGTGTGTATATACGAGTGAGCTCGTAGATCTCCTGGAGTGGGAAACGACTTAGGGCAGCGGGAGCATTTGTGCGGCTTCTCCTGGAAAAAAGAAAAACACTCGGAGAAAGGGGCGAATTTCAGAGGCACTATATATACTGTATAGCAGCCTTTATATTCTCAAAGGACATTGCGACTGAAATTGTCAGAGCAGAGCCAAATGGGAGTTCAATGCTAGGTGTAGAAATGTTTTCTTCAGTTAGAGACTTGGATTCGAATCCCAGCTACAGCGCCATTTTTCTCAGTTGCTTGGTTATTATCAGTATAATCTTAGAACGGACAGTGCCTCTGTGGCTCAGTGGGCTGAGGTGCTAGCCGGGCGTGGGTAGAGAGAGGTACTTGGGTTCAATCAAATGCCGGCTTGGAACGGCCGCCGCAGTACTGCTCTGGCAGCAGCGTGTCAAATGGGTGGCCTACCTTGGCGGCGCGGCTCTGCCCTGTATAAGGGGCCAGGTCTTCCAAACGCGAGGCTCACACCCCGTCTCACCCCTCAAAGAGTGCTCCCATGGGCTCCCACCCCGAGCGTGGCAAATGGGTGGTCTACCTTGGCGGCGCTGCTCTGTTATAGGGTCAGCTCTGCCCCTAGGATGCAAAAGAGTTCCCGCCGTCGGCTCCCACCCCCCCTACCCCCCCTCCCAGAAGGAGAGGGGAGTAGGGGCAATCATAAAGGGTTAGTAACCTGACCTGGCTGGTGGCGAACCAGGTCCAACGGGAACATGTGCTGCCGCATGGCCTCCAACCAGCCTCCACGGCCCATCGCTCTGCCACCTGAGCTACGACAACACACCTATCGGACACGCCCTATCTTAGAGTGATGGTACCGGGTTTGAGAAGAAAACTGAGGAAAAGATTCTCTCAACCAGGAGTCGAACCCAGGCCATCTTCCCGGTAGTTATCACTTCTACCATCTCAGCCACCGGGCCACTGCGAAGCGATGCGGTCATCTCTAGAGTGATGGTACCGGGATTGAGAAGAAAACTGAGGAAAAGATTCCCTCACCCGGGAGTCGAACCCAGGCCATCTTCCCGGTAGCCGACACTTCTACGATCTCAGCCACCGGACCACTGCAAGGCAATGCCATCAATCTTAGAGTGATGGTACCGGGTTTAAGAAAACAGAGAAAAGTTATCTCACGGAGTCGAACCTACCATCTTTCGCAGCGGGACACACCTTTCAGCCACTGAGCCATCAATCTTAGAGTGATGGTACCGGGTTTAAGATATCAACAGAGAAAAATGTTGTTAATCTAGAGATTCGAACCCCAGTCTTTCTCAGCGTGGTACACACCTTTCCTCACTGAGCCACCTGACAGCTGCTACCGCATGATAGCGGTCAGCTAAGAAAATAATTACGTGCCTGGGATTCGAACCCACGTCCTCTATGAGACAGCCACTGCCTCTGCGCCCTGAGCCACAGGGACACACACAGAATGATTGCCCAAACTGAGACTGATGGTACCGTAACTTTCTGCTGTAGGCAAGTTCACTGAGGAAAACGTAATCTCACTGGGGAGTTGAACCCAGGCCTCGCATTGCGTCCTGATCGGCCTTCACAGACCGTCTGCGACAGACCTTCTCGAATCACCTCACCAATTTCGGCCAAAACAGTCTGAATTTTGAGCTGGAGACAAACCTTGTTGTGTGTCATGCGGTGGTAGTACAAGTTGGATGACGCTGTGAACCGCTTGCCGCACACGGGGCACTGGTGCGGCTTTTCCCCGGAGTGTATCCGTCCGTGCGTGTTCAGCGAGGACGACGTGCTGAACCCCTTGCCGCACACCGCGCAAACGTGGGGCCGCTCACCTTCAAAGCATCGAACGAAGAGGCAATTTACAGTTTCGCAAAGTTCTCACAGAAATGTAAACAACGATTAGTCCGCACACCACGGCACATTCAGGCCCTGAAAAGTCATTTTCTAGCGAAAAACTGGAACCATTGAGGCGTGCGCCCGTAAGGTACGCCACCCATCGTCTACAGCCTCTTCACTGGACCAGCGTCACGGGGAAAATCATTTTCAAACCAAATAAAATGCTTCAAAGATCATTGGGCACCGGGCACCTGTTTCTTAGGTGCCAAAGAAGGTTCCAAATCAATTTCAGACTAAGTAATTTCGGAAGTAGTTGACCATTTTCGTTGAAAAAAGCTCCAGAGTCGCTTAACAGGACTCAAACGGAACGTGTGACCCCCCCCCCCTTTTCCCCGTTGGAGCAGTCCAACACGGACCTCGCCGCGCACGAGTACTCCAACCACAAGGAGGCAGGTGCCCCGCCGCCCCGGCCTCAAGCCTTCTACACAGTGGGCCAGAAGACCGGTGGAGGCGGCCGAAATTCTGGACGCATTTTGAGACCCGGAGTCGCTGGGACTCAAACCGAACGTGTGACCCCACCAATGGATTGTTCTACGAACGATGGTTCCATCGGTGGGGTCATACGTTCGGTTCGAGCCCCATTTAGCGACTCGGAAGCTCAAAACCCGTCTGGGATTTCGACCGCCTCTACCGGTCTTCCGGCCCACTGTGCGGCACCTACCCGTGTGCGTGCGCATGTGGCGTTTGAGGAGGGACGGCCTGTCGAAGGCCTTGTCGCAGTAGGGGCACTGCAGCAGGACTCGTCGCGAGGACGAAGACGGGGCGAACGCTGCCGCTGGCTGCTGACGAGGGCCGGTCTCCGGCGTGTCCTTCGCAGTGTCCTCGCCTGCCGCTCCGCGAGCCACCGACAGGTCCAGGGGCGTGTCTGAAGAGGCGAGTGCGGTAGTGGTGTGAAGCTTCACCGAAAATGTCTATGCATTTCTGTGCATAGCTTTGCACTCAATTGAACAGAAGTTTTGAACGTACGCTCGCGCGGAGCACTGAAACTGTGGATTGGCAATTTAGCACCGAAGACGATATTCTCTACCCGGTGGGCACACTGTGAACATTTGAGTCGTCACTTGATGACAATTTTAAGGCTAATTTTCCTTACAACAATGTCATCAAAAAATTTGATGACATTGTTGTCACGCCCATGCAATAAGTATAGGAACTTTGATGAACATGTCATCAATTTGTGACGAGATTGTCATCATTTGAAAGTGATGAAAATGACATCCACGTTTTTGTCATAAAGTGACAACAAATTTTCACAGTGCATGCTGCGTTTGCAGGCGGCAGGCCGCAACCCTTTCGGCACACTGCAAAGCCGGTGGTAAGTTTACTTGCCACAAATTTGGCAAGCCGTTTTGAATGCCAGAAGTTGGCAAGCTTGGCCCGGAAATACTCCCCAGCTTTGCCAAAATTTGGCAAGCTTATGAAGGTTTCCTAAGGTTGCCAAATTATGGCATTCAAAACGGCTTGCCAAATTTGTGGCAAGCAAACTTACCACCGGCTTTGCAGTGCACTGGTGCATGGCGGGAGTTTTTGCCTTCTGATGTGGCTACACTGACTCACCCTGCGCAAGCCCGAGGAGTGTCACGCTCACCCCCGCGGCGTCCATCTGCTGGTTCGGCGGCCGGGGGCGACCAGGATGGCGGCCAGGTTGGCGGCCAGGTTGGAGGCGTCGCGGAGGACGTCCCGCCGCCTTGCCGGCCTTGCTCGCCGCGCGGAGGGTAATGCATGTGTGGATAGGAAGCGCCGCATTCTCTGCGCTTCGATTTCCGTGACGGTGCGGATGTGCACAACCGCCGGGAACCGAGGGCTGCAGACTGATTCCGGGAGCCGCTTTCGTCGCTCTGTCTCTCTCGCACCTGTACGGGACGCCCCACGAGTGCGAGGGGGACGGAGCCGCGAAAACGACTCCCGCTGGTACTGCGCGACGAATACTGCCCCGTCAGAGCTAACCGCGGCCTCGAGGCCCGGTACACTGATTCCGAGTCGTCGCTCTGTCTCTCTCGCACCCGCACGGGACGCCCAATGAGTGCGAGAGAGACAGAGCGACGGAAACGGCTCGCGGAATCAGTCGGCAGGCCGTACCGCGGCGTGGTTGTAGCCGTCCCGTCAAAGATTCCTGTTGAACCGCGGCGGTGCGATTCCAGGAGTAGCCCTCGCGCAGGGACAAAGCACGGGGCGGCACTGTGATTGATGGCAGCAGGCCGTCGCTCTGTCTCTCTCGCACCCCTGCGGGGCGACGCATGAGAGCGAGAGAGACAGAGCGACGATGGCACCGTTCGTAATCGGCGTGCCACAGTGGGCCAGAAGCCGGTGGAGGCGGCCAAAACTATGGACGCGTTTTGAGCTCCAGAGTCGCTAAACAGGCCTCGAAACGAACGTGTGACCCCACCAATGGATTCCTCGTTCGAAGAGCAATCCATTGGTGGGGTCACACGTTCGGTTCGAGTCCTGCTTTGCGACTCAGGAGCTCAAAACACGTCTAGAGTTTTGGCCGTCTCCACCGGCTTCTGGCCCACTGTGCGTGCTGCAGTACTGTCATGCCGTCGGTATTGAGCGCGGAAGTCGGCATGCTGCTTGCTTTCGCTGCTTGTCTGGGATTTTCCGCAGGGATACTTCACCGGACTTACTAGCATGTCATGCTTGGGTTTGCCACACGACATGCGCCATCTGTGCGAACAGTCTTTCCGCACGCGTTTGGGTGTGATGCTGGCTGAGCGCCTGTGCATTCTGAGATACTAGCCCGCAGCGCATGGGTGGCGGCGGGTGGCCTACCCTACTTCTTGCAGGCGTTCTGTAGTGACTTGACTTTTGTGGAGAGATGAGCAGGATGAAAATGAACAGACGAGACACTTGTTGTAACATTCTTTTAATATGAGCATTTTTAAATATGTAGTTAAACAGAAATACACAACTGAATCCATAATTTTTCTTTAACGACACAAACATTCATCAACAAGAACCAAGACGCTTCGTCGGCTTGGGGCCTGGTCGCCTCGAGAAAGAAATATTTGTTTGTTTTGGTACTCGCTTGGCACACGTTCCTTCTTTGTCGATGGGACCAGGGCGAGCAAGCGGAGCCCACGCCATGTCCATCTCGCTCTTTCTCAATTTTGTTAGAAAAATTGTCCTCATCCGGCTTATATACAAAACGAACAGGATGACGTTCGTGAATTTTAAAAGCCGCTTTCGACGTGCCGCACCTCGGCCATCGAACCGACACGTTACTCAATAACTAATATCGCGAATTTGATAATTTTTGTACTTGTTGTACAGCTAATACATGTAGTGCACATTTTAAGAGAATGAAAGACACTCACTCGAGTTGAAATAACTAGTAACTGACGCGGGCTCTTTTTGGTACGGGTACCCGCACCACACAGCAGCTGGAGTCAGTCTAAATGCTTATATCTCTACTAACAGGATATCTTTAAATCATGCAAAAATTTGAGATGGAAGCGGCGAATTATCTATGTGGTGGAATCGCACCCTCCTTTCGAAATTGGCCCTCCAAATTAACATTCAATCGCTCCTTGGAACACGCTCAAAATTAACAAAACACTATTTGCAACGTGGCAGTCTCTAGGGGTACAGGGATTCACAGAGTGAAGCGCGTACCGGAACGTTAAGTACTTTGTCCATGACACGACTAGAAACTGAAAGAGCAAAACTCTTCGCGACACTGCGATCCTCTCCTCCACAGAGCTCCGATCAACTTGCTTTTGATTCCGTTCTTAGCGGTGCCAGAGAGAGATGCAGTGATCCACTTTGGCAGAAGCAGCTTCAGCCACACTGCTTTCTGACACCGCGACACCCATATTCCCTTCCCTCCATCCAACCCTCAGCCGCCCCCTACCGTCGCGATGTCTGATTCCCTTACAATGTATCAAGTAGCGAGGTAGGATCCAATGGGCACAATTTGATTCGGGAAACAATGAAAACAAATAAATAACAATGGGGGCTTAAATTATGAATATCAAAAAACGCTTCTGATGCGCAGTGGCTGAGACTAGAACAAGATATAAGTTAAAATTAAGTAGAGTGAAAGCACCTTCGTTTTCGACCACTGCGCGCCATGGCCGTTGATTGTGTCCAAAGGACCACCTCTCGACTTGGAGGGGTGACCAGACGAATATTCGTATAATCACGTACATCAATCACAGTTATATACATTACACTGAGAAATTAGCTGATCACTAGAGCTCTGTTCGAACAGTGCTGAAATACTATCCTTGTTTTTTTTCTTAAACACTCATAGTTACAGATTAATAATTATTATAAAATAATGTCCCTTTGCAACTCATACTCTCTATCTCAACGATGTTTTTTTATTTTCTTTCTTTTTTCTTTCTTTTTGCATCCACCAAACGAATCGGTTCCAAATTTGAGCGGTCAAACCATTTGGTGTAAGAGTGGTTGCTATCAGGGGGAAATTAAAATATTCTCTAGAATCTACCCTATCTAGTACTCAAATAGACGATCTATTCATAACAGATCAGGGTTATTTTTCTTGTTTTGCAGCTTCCTGTCATTCGCGTTGTTGGAGAACGAGTATGAGCCGGGTTTCTGTGGCCACAGCTGAATGACTTTTATCTACCCGCCAAAAAAGAGGGAAAGAAAAGTAAATTTATAAATCTCCCATACTCAACGGTTGACGATTTTACAGAGCCCACGTTTCCCTTTTTCAGTGGAGGGGGCGCGAAACCTCATAAGTTACAGAAACAGTGCCATATGATAGCTCTTAACTCAGCTGTCGAAACAAGAAAATTTTTAGCAATCAAGACAACGAATCTACCGACAGACATGCTCGGCTGGAAGAAACTGCCCTGAAGCATCCGTCAAATCCTTTTGGCACGAAACGGAACAAGAACCGCGTGGCACGTCTTTGATCTTGTGAGCAGAAAGTGTTCACAGCCCATGCTCGCGTGGCACAACGGCGGCTACCCCGGTCATTGGTTCAAAACAATAAAACAAAACAAAACTGACATGACAGCTCTCCTTTGGGTATAGGCCCAGCAGCGTAAGCTCTTTGCACACAAGCTTGTCTGGAGAGCTGGTCGAGCGGCTACACCGCTCAGAGTGTAGGACTTTTCTGTGACGGGGAAGCCAACAATAATAAATCTTAGGTAAGAATGCAAAGGACTCAGAGAGAGACGTTATATCACAAACGTACAGGCTAAACGCCCCGTCCGTGAACATCGAACGAAACAAAACAAAAACACAACCATCAGAAGTAACGAAGAGGAAAAACGGAAAAGACACATACATACACTGCGAAGGAGACACATAGACACACGACCTCTTTATCGTAGTTTTACTAGGAGGAAAAAGAAACTGGAAGCATCTAAGAAGACTTCAACGAAAGACCGAGGCAAAATATGGCGGAGGTTGTCGCTGTGTTCGGTTTGGCACAAGAAGCATCGGTCCTCCATTGTTCTCCTCAGTGCTAGAGGTATACTAGGCGAGCATTTTCACCCACTCTTACAATCACACACACAGACAAGTATTCGCTCTCACATATTCACACGCTCTCTTTCTCTCTCACACACTCTCGACTAAATTTATAAACTTATTGCTAGGTAGTTGCTGCCGCGACCGATACAGGGCACACGACAGCAACATTGCGGGGTGCTTCGTGAGGAACGCGCACTGAAGTGCGGACAGACTTCAACACGGGCCCCCCGCGCATACCACTCCTATGTGAAACGTTGTTGATGGAAGCCCCTAGACGGGGCAGCCTTAGACTAGGTTAGTAGGTAAAACTCTTATACGTATATGTACATCGTGGTCCGAACGTTGCATCTGACAGCGCCGGCCTGAACCACGCGTACGCCGGCCAGCCGGCCAGCGCTGCCAAATTCACAATAAAATCTGCAGTCATCAAAAATAGTAGACGCTTTCCCTCCCGTCTGCGCATTACCAGAGAGTCCAATCGCAATGAGAAAAAAAACTGTGTTTCTATAGTACAGTTTGGCCAAGATTAGTTTTAGGATTGTGCAACCGCAGAAAACACTGGCACCGTAGATTTTTCTCCCCCTTCGTCTTTTAAACAACATTTTTTTGAGCCAAGGACTCTGATACCTAAATAAATAAGTGTGCAGATGGGTAGTCTACATTTAAAACAAGTTGAAATGAGATTATAACTTGGGTGCGGAGGCATGGCTGCCCCGCCCCTGCGTGATAATGAGTATTATAATACATAGTAATGCTGACGGGCGCCACGACACTGGATTGCGAGTGTGGGCAGCCGCTCCGTCCTCTTAGTAAAATGGTGAACCACGGCGGGCCGGTAATCAAAATTACATAATTGGTAATGAAAAATTACACTGTACACGTTTTCTTTGTTTCCTTTCTGACCCAAGGGGGTCGGGAGGTCGGCACCTCTACTTGTGGCTGCGAGTGCTGCGCAGTGTGGCCGAGGGGAACTCTTCGTAGACGACGCGCGCGCCGTCCGACGACGTCGACGGCTTGCTCTTCCTCGGCAGCGTCGTGGACTCGCCGAAGCCCACCATGTCCCGGGGCTTCCAGACGGGCGAACCTGCGGGCAGAGGAAGATGAAAGAAGGTTAGTTGTCGTCTCACGTCGGCGCCACTGCTGTTGCAACAAGCTCACTGAGGGCTCAAAGTATAGTGAGCACGCCCTTCTGAGCGTGTTTAGGCAACAATGTATATTTCACCCCGAGAAGACTCAGTTACAGTAAAGTCAGTGCGGAGAAGGATCGAACACTGCAGGGGTGGGGGTAAAAATAAAACGCCCCTATTTTAGACTGAGTTGTCTCATTTTGATACTTGAAGATACTCCCTAGTGCCATTACATGATCGCGTATTAGTATGAGCTGGTCTCAAAATGAAAGACCCCAGTCTAAAAATTGGGCGTCCGATTCTTCTCCGCACGGACCCTATCAAAGTGCGTAACCGTCACTGGTAAAACTATAGCGTAGTATTACCCTCTGTTTTCAAGCGTAATCAGTTTACGCTTGAAATCAAGCGTAACAGGCTCTTCCACCAAGATCCCCTATCTAAATGCATGCTTCATTTCAAGGGTGACGTCTTCAAGCGTAACTCTATGCTTGACTCAAGCATAGAGTAACGCTGTAGTTTCACCAGTGGTGAAACGTGAGCCCGCGCACTCACCCAGGTCCTTGACGAGCGGCGGCTGGTAGTTCTCAGGGTGCTGCGAGGACTGGATGAGGCGCGCCTGCGACCCCGTGGAGCCCGCCGAGAGCGTGGAGGTGGTGCTGAGCGTCAGGTGGTTGGGCGTGCGTCCCAGCGTGCCCGCCTTGCCCTTGGCCGCGGCCGCTGCCGCCGGCGCCACCGCGTGCAGCTCGTCCTCGCCCTCCGACTTGGTGCCGACGTCCCCCTCCCCCTTGCCCCTATCGCCGGGGTGGTGCTCCTCTGCAGAAACAAAAGGAAAGCAAACAAATTAAGCACGTGATGCCTTTACTTTAAAACATACACTTGGAAAAAGTATACGACACAAAAGGTGTCAGCTAGCTTTTCCTATCGAGTCTCGAACCAAGCACGTATTCTCATGAAGTGGTGGCCGGGGGAAATAGTTCCCAGAACCAAACTCATTGACAATGAAAACCCACAGAACCAGTTTCTTGTCTTGACAATAAAGGTTCATTTTGACCACAAAATTCTAAAGAAACTGCTAGTTTCAACATCAACTTTCGATATTTTCGAGACATGGATGGCCACCGTCAATAATTCAGACTGCCTTGTAAGAGTGTGTTTACGCAATGCAACCCGCAAATGGGCACACTTAAAATTTTTTTTGAAGAAACTTCCCATTATACAAAGGAAATGGCGCAAGCAGCGCAAGCATAATACGAACGTAGTTTTTCTTCGAATTACGAAGGGGTTTCTTTGCATCTTACAATAAAAATCCACAAAATAAGAGAATTTTCGCTCACGCTTCCGCCGAAGTAAGATTCTGGTGGTAAGACATGTAGAGTGTATCTCTGTGCAGTATTCCCCTTTGCATGGCTCTCTGTTCCTTAACCTGAGAATTCTTCATCGAAATTGAAACCCTTACCGTGGGCGTCGCTCACTGTCTTGCTCCGCCCCCGAAACTGGCCGGACTGGGCCGGCGCCGCGGCCAGAGGAGTAGAGTCGGAGTCCACGCTGTCCAGGTCGATGTTGCCCGCCGAGTGCCTCTGCGCGTTCTTGCCGCCCCTCTTCGTCTTCCCCAGCGTCTGAGATCCCGCCAGGATCAGCGCCCCGGACGCGCAGGCCGCTCCCGAAACCGCCTTCGCCGTCCTCAGACCCGCTGCTGCAGCACAAATCAGGGGGAACGTCAGTACGTCAGACGGTGCAGGCGGCGGCCCAGCGCCGACACTGTTATTCTGACGGGTGTGACGTCATATTCGCCACAGTGTGAATTACGTCACGTTTGTTTATGATGTTCACGTCCAAATAAATCCTGATCAAACGGCCAAGTCATGTTCAAACGAATGCGTGACACCCTATTCAAACAGACGTGACAACATTCACATTCTAACGATATGACGTCACTTTGGTCGAATAACAGATGACAGGGGTGCGTCTCGACAAATCGCAAGCCACTTTTGAATGCCGTTGTTGGCCGAGAAAGAAGCGACGCTGTCGATAGTCCACGCTCAAGGGACCGCCCAAATGGTCTGCATTTTAGGCCAGTCGAGCATGGAGTATCACCAAGGTCATTTCTTTCGCAAATTTCATATTGATTTTTCAGGATTTTTCGAAAATTTTGATTCAATGAAAATTATTTGTTTTGAACGGTTATCCAATTCAGAATTTGAAAAGTTAGCCACTCAAATGTGTACGACTTGTTGCGATTTGGCGCCAACCCCTGGCAGCGGGCGTCTCGGCTAGGCCACCGCTGCAGCTTCATCCCTAACGACTTTCACTAGACAGAATGAAAGTTAGAAGAAGAAAACTAACAAAACTACAAACTCGAGCACTGTTTGAGTTTGTGGAGCAGAGAGAGAGAGAGAGAAAGTAGTGAAAACTACCAATAACGAAAGAGAGTAAGAGAGAGAAAGAGAGAGAGAAGAAGAAGAAAAGAGAAGTGAAAGTACAGCGGGAAGCACGCCTATGGACTCTACGAATCACGATGATGACTGTCGCAGATGAGAGAGACAAAGAAAGAAGACCCGCAGAGTGTGGTCAAGCTCGCGGTGCGGCCATGGTGCGGCGCTCCCCCCGGCGGGGCGAGTAGCTGCACTGCAAGGCAGCTGTAGTCCGGCCAGCCTAGTCTATCAAGCCAGAGGCGGCCACAGGCTAGCGAGAGTACGAAGGGGATTTTCTGTCGCGACTTATCTGCTCCTTTTCCGACAATTTTAATTCTTCAAAGAAAAACATTTCATCAAAAATAATCTTTGAACTTATCACGAAGAAAAAATGAGGAGATAAAGTATGGGAGTATTTCAATTCTGAGAAAGACGAAAAAAAGAATGAATCCGAATAACAAAACTATCAGACTTAGCGGGAAATATTGAAGTTGTTTGATCGACACACACTAAATTTCTTTGTACAATTTTTGTAAGTGGTCCCACACAATTTCACGCGTTGTTGCTTTTCACACAAATTTTTGTGCAAAATTTCGCACGAATTACACTGGAAACCAACGAATGTGACGTCACATTCGTTCGAATGTGAATTTTGTCACGTTCATTTGAATATGATGTCACATTCGTTTGAATGTTGATCAACATTCAAACAAATGTGACGCCATACTTTAACGGCCGAGTCACGTTCAAACGAATGTGACATCATATTCAAACGAACGTGACAAAATTCACACTCCAACGAATATGACGTCACATTCGTTGGCTACCAGTGTATCGCGATTTTGCAAACAAATTTTGTAAGAAAATATTCGCATGCAGAAAAGTGTGCGAGTTCGCGAACAAAATTGTGCAAATACATTTATTGTGTAGACGACGAACGCGCTCTTATTAAAAAGAGACGAAAAAGAAAACGAAAAACGCGGCGCGACTCCTCGAGGAGGGCAGGGCATCCCCTTCATACGTACCCATGACGGCGCACTTGTAAAGAAAATGATTGTTAGTGACAAAAAATCGTGCCAAAAAGTCAAGCAGGAAGTAAGCGCGGGCACGCATGTACACACAAACACACGCACATTCATAGGGCAAAAGAGAGTGGGGGTGGTTGGGGTGTGTTAGGGTTGTGGAGGAGATCAAGTGGCTCTGACAATGAGTAACACTTCTATTTTATGAAAGTTTATTCAGCCTGTTAACGCTGCTACTCCTGCAATAATGGGGCTATTCGTTTCCTATTGACAAAAACTAGTTTGATTAGGAAAGTAATGGTCGGCAAGCGTTCAGGGCCTGTGAGCGTGCAGGCAGCAGGTACCAATTCAAAATGCATGTCAAATTGTAAGTCTTTTCTGGGAAGCACTATAGCTCTTTCCTTCTACAGCGAGACGAGAGAGAGAGCCCCGCTGCCTAGTGCAGCCGTGCCGGGCGGGTGGAATCGCCCGTGACAGACACGAGCACAGATTGCGTTAGTTCTTTTCTAAATTGGATTAGTCTGCGCCAGACCCAGGCAAGGCCAAGGGGCACACGTGGATTAGAACGCCGTGGGTTAACGTCAGGCGGATGCCTTGTTTAGCACACACAGCCGCCAGTTCTGCCAAGACGACCGCCAAAGTTCCCGCCAAAAGGGATAGGTTAAGGTTAGTCTCCCCGCCAAATGGGACGTTAATTTTCCCGCCAAAGGCGAGGTCAATTTCGCGCCAAAACAGAGGTTAGTCTCCCGCCAAGAACAAGACTCTCGCAAACAGTCTCTTCTTCAAAAGGGAGGGTAGTCGCCATTCCAATTGGGAAGTTAGTCAGTCTCCTTTCCAAATTGGAGGTTAGTCCCATTTGGAGGTTAGTCTCCATTCCAAAACTGGAGTTAGTCTCATTGGCCAGCGGTCGTCTCGGCCGCAACGAGGGCCACACGGCTTGCCTGGTGCTGCTGGTGGCGGGTGGGGGCGTCCCTACTGGCTAGTCGTGGCGGGGCCGGTGGGGCGGTGGCCGTTGGCGGGCCGTGCCGGGCGGGCGGTGGTGTCGGGTGGGCCAGTCTGGCCCGGTGCGACATGGACTCCGGTACTGACTCACCCAAGGCGGTCCCCTTGTCGTCGGGGACGCTGTCCCCGGAGCCCGGCTTGACGGCGGGGAGGCTCATGTTGCGGACGCTCTCCCGGATGATCTGCCGGATCGTCTTCAGGAAGGCGTTGCGGAACTCAGCCGTGCTGGAGAGAGAGAGAGAACGCATTGGAATTTACAGATGCCAGACGAGGACACAATGGAAAAATCAATGCCGTGGAAGGCTGATTCCGAACAGTGCTTCGTTACTTGTCTTACTCACACCCGAGGGGAAAAGAACTTGAAATAAAGTGTACAAAGGGTAATAAACTTGAAATAAGTTGAAGTAAACTATAAATAAATTGAAGTTAACTGTTAATGCATTGAAGTGAACTGTAAATAAATTGAAGTACATAGTTTAAATGAGCTGAGTTAATCTATGAAATTTAAATAACTGTGTGTAATGTGTCGAAGTTGTTTCCCTCCGGCCGCACCCCTGCCGGACGGTGCATGAGTGAGAGAGAGACTCAGCGACGGCGGCAGTGTTCAGAGCCAGCGCTCACACCAATCAATGCCTCACCTGTTGGACAGGACGTAGACCTTCTCGGACCTTCGCTGCACCTGGCTGCGCAGGTGGATCAGTTCCCACAGGAAGTGCGAGTCCATGTCCTTGGCCGAGCTGGCCCGGACCTGCACCTCCGTCACGGGGATCAGCACCTGGTAGCGGATGATCTCCACCTCGCTGGAGCTGCCCTTGCTCGACACACCCTGAGAATTTAAAGAGAAAAGACTCGAATGTTTATCATCTTTTTCCGACACGTTCAACGAAACCGGACCCACTCCGTAAATTTAGCAGGGTACTCAGTGCACTCTCTTAGACGTATACTCTCGAGTTCACTCCCAAGAAAGAGATCTCTAATGAGTCATCGTTCCTGGAAGGGTACTCAACGAGTACACGCTCCTTGGGATCGTTCTCAGGTGAAGAGAGTGCACACTGAACGCAGAGTCAGATCATCTCTAAACTTACGATAAGTTTCTTCTTCTGCCGCAGGCGCTCCTTGCACAGGAACACGACGGCCGACTTGAACACGAAGCACATGGCGTGCAGCTCGAGCCCCTTCTTGATCTTGCCCAGGAAGTCGGAGATGTTGAGCCACTCGACGCCGCCGTAGTACAGCAGGTCGCCGGGGCTCAGGTCGATGGGCTGCTTGCAGGACTTCTGGTGCTGCCGGAACAGGTGGTCGAAGATGGCGCCGTACTCCTCGTGGATGCGCTGCATCTCGTTGATGTGCTCTGCCACCTTCTCCATGCCCTTGAGCGCCTCTGTAGGGAGCGGAGGGCAAGGCGGCGTTAGAAAGGCGGGGATGTGTGTTTGCGAGTGTGCGGATGTTCTTGACATATTCCCTATCAAGTGGGCTAAAAGGGATGAACTGGGGGAGAGGGAAGGATGGGGGATGAAATGGGGGTGAGGAGGGAAAGGGATGAAATGGGGGTAAAGAGGGAGGGGGATGAAACGGTGGTGAGAGGGGATGGGGATGAAATTGCAGAGAGAAGCGAAGGTAATGAAATAGGGGTGAGAAGGGAAAGGAAATTAAATGGGGAAGAAGAGGGAGAGGAATGGAATGGCGGTGAGAAGGGAAAGGTATGAAATGGGAGAGAGAAGGTAAAGGGATCAAAGGGGGGTGAGAAGGGAAAGGGAAGATAGCATGTAAGAAGCATGTAAGCACGCGCTTCGAGGCATGTACTGGCCCGAGCCTGCGCCCAGAACCGCATCCTCATGCCAAGCCCGTGTCTCTAAGTTCGTACTTGCTGGTAAGTGTGCTTTAAGTGTGCTAGTAGGCACACTTAAAAGTGCGTGGTCAATCAAGCGCACACTTCAAGGCGCGTACATACTTAAGCAAGCACACAACTCGAAGATCGTTCTTACAAGCAACCGCTTACAAGAGCGTACTGATTACACTCTTGAGCTTTGCGTGTGGGGAAAGCCGGTTGAAAAGGCGATGAAAAGGGTGAAAAGCGTGAAAAACTGCGGAAGGGGGAGGGGGAAATAACGAGGACTGACCGACGAGGTGCACATGCTGCTCCGACTGGGGGTCGGTGAGGTTCCGCAGCTGCTGCAGCAGCAGCGGGTACTTGAGGATGCGCTGGATGGGCTTGATGAGGTACGACTCCAGCGTGCTGCTGTGCTGCTGCCGCGGGTTGCGCGTCGCCAGGAACTCCCTCAGCGCCTGGTTGCCTTCGTCTGAAAAAAAAGCAAGGAAAAATATAGAGTTTCCTGTGAAATAACTCGGAGCGACTATAGAATTCGAAATGAGCGCGCGCGCGCGGGCGATGTACTCACTGGGATGCAGCACTTTCTGCGCCTTGCTGTGGCTCGCGCAGAAGGAGCTGTAGAGCTTGAAGTGGTTCACGTAGTATAGGAAGGCGCTTCCCACCGAGAAGAGCACGTTCTGCAAAAGGAGGCAAGGGGGTTAGCTTGTCTCACCGTTACCAGCAAGCGACAAACAAGAAATACGAAAAAAAAAACGACTTTTGAAAGGCGATCAACTTTGTTCGTAAGTCTAAATATGATAGCTGCAATCGAAAATCCAGCACAACCAAAAGCTGATTGCTACGACCGGACACTTAAGACAAGAACAAACCCAGCTTTTAAATATCCTGACATGTTCGGGCGTGGCTGAGTACCAGCTTGTGAATGTGGGTACCGGATTTTCGGTTACAGCTATCGAATTTTGCCAATCGTACAAGTTAGATAGCCGCAACTTCGTGCTTTTTCGTGTTGTTTCTTTTTTTCGTGCAGGCGCACCTTGAATTGGTTCGGGTGATCGAACTTGAGGAAGTCCGGCTCCATCTCGATGGCCTCGTCCAGGTTGTGGAGGAACTGACGCTGGAAGGTGACGATCTCCTGGATGTTGCCGAACAGCGCGTTGATCTCCGCCAGAGACAGGAACGTCTCCTTCTTGAGGGGCTCCAGGTAGTTCTCCAGCAGGTTGTTGAGGTGCTGCAAAACAAAAAAGTGTTTGATGTCAGTATTTTACTTCACGCGGGAGCATTTACGACGGTACCTTCGCAAAAAAAAAAATGTTGCCCGAGCAAGTCCTTTGTGACGTTCGTAAATTTACAAAGAATTTTCGTGACTTTACGAGGCTTCTTTGTGAATTCAGGGGGAGTTGTCGAGAATTTCCGACGAGTCTTCGTAAATTAACAAGAACCCTCGTGGATTTACAAAGGCTCCTCCAACATTTTTCCCCACGGGATACTTTAGAAAATTCCGCACTGTGAAAAAAAAGTACGGAACATGTCTGGTCAAAAATTTGCCTGGACCGTCTGCACTTGCCAACTACGGAACGTTCCATACTTTTTGTCCGTCCTCATTTAGTTCATATGGAGCAAGAACGGAACGTTCCGTACTTTTCTCCGTACCTCCGTACTATATTTTTCTGTACCATTTCCGTACAAAAGTACGGAATTTTTTCACAGTACGCATATTTATAGTTTATACAGCGTAGGCGTTCTAAAACTGACCTTGACGTAGGTGCGCTCCGTCTCCACCAGCTCCAGCACCACCTTGCGCAGCTTCTCCGCGTCCGTCAGCATCCTGCCCGTGGGGGCCAGCAGCACCTGCGCGTGCGCCTGCGCCGCCATGGACATGCTGCCCGTGGGGCTGCACTTGCGCGCCTCCACCGGGGACCGGCAGAACCCGGTCACCTGCTCGGCGGTCTGCAACAGCGTCGAGTAAAATCAGTAAAAAGTAAATAAAAATAACGTGGGCAAAGGGTTGGGTGAGGTTAACCCAGCGACCGCGGAAGTGGGGTGCAGGGGGGGCGGTTGGCCCCCCCTGAAATGAAACGGGGGGGGCGCCGCCCCCCTGTTTTTACCATTGTTTTCGTCGCAAATTTCTGTATAGTGTCCAAATTTTAACCAAAACACGCTAATATTTTCGTAAATTCGCTGGCTTTCAGCTCGCTTTGCTCGCATTTCTTAGTACTTTCCACTATTTGATGACTTTTAACTTAAGCGCTCCATTATAGCTTGTACTTTTCATATTTCGATGGCATTTAGATCGCTTCGCTCGCATTTCACTGACTTTGAGGGTCAAAACCGGCCTCCTAACTATTGTAAATTCCACATTACACGCATCTTATTAGCCCCCCTGTTTTTCTCCTGACCCCCCCCCCCAACAGAAAAGTCTTGCCCCCCCCCCGTCATGAACTACTTCCGCGGTCCCTGGGTTAACCGACGCACCTTGAGCAAATTCTCGATCTCGAAGGAGTTGGCCCGTGACGCCACCTTGCCCTGGGACTCCATCCCTGGCGGCAGCGGGGACACGTCGCCGTCGGGGGAGTACATTTCTTTGCCTGGAACAAGAAGAACGCGAGGGTCAGCATCGCTTCCAAAATTATTTCGACAAAAACAATCGAGTAATTCGTGCAGCTGAAGGGATTCGAACTTCAAGGTTTCGAAATTGACCTCATCCCAAATGTGTTCCATCCTCAACAAAAGCAAAAGGACTCTGTAAAAATTTTGGTCGCCACTCGATGACACTTTCAATGCTGATTTTCCTAAGAGGAAAGTCACCAAGCGAGTTGATGGCATTGATATCCACACCCATGTAGAAAATACAGAAATTCTGATTAAAATGTAGTCTATTTGTGACGAAACTGTCATCATTTGAGAATGATTTAAATCTTAACCGAAATTTTGTCATAAAGTGACTACAAATTTTACAGTGTATTAAGTGACGAAAATAACACTCGTTAAAAAATTTTCTTTTTGCTTTTTTTTTGGTATTGAGTACTCACTCCATCCGGGCGCGGGCACGATGAGGCCCGAGATCATCTCTTCGGAGATGACGGGCGGCTCGGAGGGCGGCGGCGGGCACACGAGCGAGTCGATGATGTCGTCGGTGGCGCGCATGATGGTGGCCAGGTCGGGCGGCTCGGTGCGCGACGAGCGCATCATCATGCACAGGGACTGCTCCTCCTGCAGCACGCTCTCCAGGTACATCATGTCCAGGTCCGACACGATGGCGCCGTTGATGACCATGATCTCGTCGCTCTTGATGATGCCGCTGTGCATGGCCACGCTCTTGTCCTCGACGCGCGACACGTAGCAGCACAGCTCGTCCTGCCGGTCCGCGTTCTCCATCAGCTCCGCCTCCACCGAGAAGCCCCACATCTGGTCCAGCGACTTGCGCTGCAGCTCCACCTGGTACAGGATCTTGGCGCACACCTCCACCACCTCGTGCGTGTGCAGCTGCAAGCAGAAACAGTCTCGCTTGCAAACCACAATGACATTCCGCCAACCATGATTTAGATTTTTGTTTGGAACAGGACTGTTAACTGCAGACTGATTCCAAGCTCTGATTGAGTCACTCTCGCACTCTGGAAACCATGCGAATTATTTCTGGCCACGAAGAAAAGCAGTTTTGTTATAACAAGAAATTTTGAGTATACAAAAGCTTCCGCACATAAAAAAAAACTTCGTAATTTATGCACTATTTCTTTGGGAAACAAACTACACTGGTAGCCAACGAATGTGACGTCATATTCGTTGGAGTGTGAATTTTGACACGTTCGTTTGAATATGATGTCACATTCGTTTGAACGTGATTCGGCCGTTTAAGTAGGGTGTCACATTCGTTAGAATGTTGATCAACATTCAAACGAATGTGACATCATATTCAAACGAACGTGACAAAATTAGCATTCGAACGAATTTGCGACGTCACATTCGTTGGTTTCCAGTGTAAGCAATTTGAGCCTTATGCTCAAAAAACTTCCTAAGGTTAAAAGCGTGCGCCTTAAACGAGACACCCTTTCACGAGTGCGAGAGAGACAGAGCAGAGTACAGAACCGCTGCTGGTGTGTCGTCCGGGTTCAGAGCGATCAAAAAAAAGCCAGGAACTTCTCTCACGTAGGTCTCGATGGGGTCGTTGCGGTGCGGCACGAAGTAGTTGTGGTCCTCCATGTCGCGGCGCTTCTTGACGCGCACGAAGTGCTCCATGGCGTTGAGGTTCTTGCGGCCGCACGCGCTGGCGAGGAACTCCTCCACTGTCATGCCCTCGCGGAGGTACACGTGCGCGAACTGGCCCTCCGGCAGCGACACCTTCACCGTGCGCTCGTTCTCCTCGCGCGAGCCCACCTGTGGGGACCAAAGCTGCTTGTGAGTACAACAGGGAGAGGGTTGTCAAAGAGACCAGCCAGAGGGAGCTCAGAAAAAAAAAATTAAATATAGTCGAGTGCGCTAAAAAGCTAACCGTCAACACACTTGCAAATCCGTAGCTGCAAGTACACACTCACAAATCCACTCTACAAATTGAAGTGTGTACTCAGTATGCATCTACAGATGCATACTTGCAAATACACACCTACAGGTACATACTTAGCTGAGTACACGTCTACAGATGCATACTCAGCTGAGTACACATCTGCAGATGCATGCTTGGACGAGTTCGGTATGCATCTGTAGGTGTGTACTCAGCCAAGTATGCATCTGTAGGTGTGTACTCAACTGAGTGTGCATCTGTAGATGTGTACTCACTCTGCAAACTGAGGTGTGTACATAGTACACTCTTATTAGATCATGCTTCCAAGTACACTCTTATTTACAGCATACTTGCTAGGCACACGCTAAATAAGTGTGTACATTGCATGTACACGCTAAATAAGAGTGTACCTGGCGGCAAGTACACTTAAACTGGCCCATGCTTTTAGATAGGACTAATCGAGTATATTTTAGTGTGTACTTGCAAGGTACACACTTATTTAGCGTGCACTTGCCAGGCACACTCTATTTTAGCGAGTGCCTAGCAAGTATGCTGTAAATAAGAGTGTACTTGGAAGCATGCTCTAATAAGAGTGTACTATGTACACACTTCAGTTTGCTGAGCAGCTGAGTATATGAATCTGTAGATGCATACTGAGTACACACTTCAGTTTGTAGAGCATACCTGCAAGATTACGCTATGAATTTGTAGGGTTGTACGTGCAGGTATACCTTAATAAATGGGTACTAAGTAGACAGTGTACCTGGAGCGAGCGCCGAGAGGAGCCCGAGTTGGACCTGGACAGCACGGGCGGGCGCCGCTTGGTGGCCCCGCGGCCCGCCAGCAGGTTGTTGAGCAGCGACGGCGACCGCGCGCAGATGAAGGCGTGGAACGACGACACCGTGAACACGCCCAGCTTGTTGAGGGTCGTCTTGGTGCCGCGGGAGACGTGCGTCAGCAAGCTCTGCAGCAGCAGGAGGAAGAGTACGCGTTAATCCAGACGGCTCGAGAGTAACTTTCACAGGGAAGGTGTCAGAAATTTACACACAAAGTAAACCCATTTTTCTAGGCAAAAAGTGAGACAGAATTGAAGACATAGATAACACATGTATTTAAAGCAATACGTGGAGGAAATTTGTAGACAAGGTAACACATGTTTCTAAAAAAAAAATGGGTGAGAGAAATTCAACTCTTTTTTTACACTTAGCGATCACTAATTTTAACCAAAACAAAAATGTTTCTCTCAAAAGAAATTTATGGAGAGGGAAACCATTCGTTAAAAGAAAAAGTGAGAGAAATTTGTACCGAGGGTACCAAATTGCTAAAATAATTTTAGGCATGAAAAGAACAATTTCTTTAGAAAGGAGTAACAAAATTAAGTGGAGCAACCACATTTTTTAAAAAGAGTGACGCGAGATAAATTTTCACACTCTTAAAATTCCATTAAGAATACACTCTGAATGTTGTACAATGAAGATTTTCTATATATTATGGTGAAAATGTTCCATAGATTCCATAGTGTGGTGGTGCAGCTGACTTCATAACACACCATTGAGAATTCACTGTATCTTATAGATATTTTGACGAATTTCGTTGGTATTATGGAGAAAATCTCCACCATAATTTGCTGGTGCAGCCTTTGACCGTAAGACATTTACAGTGTAGTTGACTTGAAAAATGTGCTCACCTTGGGGTTGGGCAGCTCGCCGTTCTGCAGCGAGGCCATGTAGCAGCGCAGCCGGAACTGCTCGCAGTGTAGGCGCTCCACGTTCTCCTCCCACTGCATGATCTGGTTGCTGAGCTGGGCGCGCGTCTCCGGGTCCGACACGACGCACTGCTGCAGGTCCGCCATGTGCTTGAGCTTGTGGTCCGACTCGATGGCCTTCTCCAGGCGGAAGATCTCCTCCTGCAGCAGGTGCAGCGTGCCCGTCTTGCCGCGGTGGCGCGCGAAGGCCGCCGCGCACGCCGAGTGGATGCTGTTGACCCAGTTCTCCAGCTCGATCTGGCACGGCGCCTGCAACCAAGTCCGGCGTGTCGTGCAACTAAGTCCAGTGTAGTGCAACCAAGTCCAATGTAGTGGAACCAAGTCCAGCTTAGTGCAACCAAGTCCAGCTTAGTGCAACCAAGTCCAGCTTAGTGCAACCAAGTCCGGCTCAGTGCAACCAAGTCCAGTGTAGTGCAACCAAGTCCAGCTTAGTGCAACCAAGTCCAGCTTAGTGCAACGAAGTTCAGCGTAGAACAACGAAGTCCAATGTAGTACAACGAAGTACAACGAAGTCCATGGACTATCGGAACGAGGAATCCATTGGTAGGGTCACATGTTCGATTTGAGTCAGATTTTGCGACTCCGGAGCTCAAAACGCGTCTAGAATTTCTGGCCGCCTCCACCGGTCTTCAGGTCCACTGCGCGTAGTGCCACGAAGTCCAACGTTCGGGAATTCCTATGCATAATATTTTTACGCGCCCTCACACAATATTTTGTGCATGCCCTAGAAAAACAAGGTTGTGCGTGGCATGCTCCCCTTGGGAGTAGGCTAAACCACAGGCTGCTTAAAACTGCAAGGCAGTGCAGCGCGACTCCCGACCTGGCCGGGGGGAGGGGGGAAAATAGACCGCGGGTTTGCGACACGCGATTCATGCACCTGCACCCTCACAAAAAAAAATTATAATTTTGAGTGAACCATTATAGGGAGCATGCGCGGAAGTGTCCACAGTCTAGACTGCACGCAGAAACTGAGATGACACTATACCAGGCCGTGAAGGTAAAAGTTGAAATTGAACTATTAATTGGTCCTTTAAAAGATCACGAGATTGCGTTCACGTTAAGATTTAACCGAGCAAAGGCCTCAAAATTTTCTTTCTATCTTTTTACTGCAAGGCATTCACAAGAATTTTGTTTTTAAAGACATTTTTCAAGAGTAAAGAAAACAAATGGTTTCGCCTAAAAAGTCGTGCATGACGAACTAGATAAAAAGTCCCGCAGCGGTAATAAAGTGACGCGATTGTCACAGTATTGATTCTCCATTTCGGCGAGTCGAGAGACAACGTAACTTTCGGGAGGGCACTGGCCGCCTTCGTCCACGCGTTCACACGACCCACATCCAACTTTGCAGAAAACCCGAGGGGTTACCCACTCGTTGTTTTAGTGTACACACGATTCCGGATTCCCGCGATTCCCAGAACATATCCCTGAGAAAAAGAGAGAACTTTCGAAAATTTGCTTTGTATTTGAATGCCTTTGTGTGTATCACATGATTACCATGACTTAAAATTGAAACTATGAGGATTTTCCATCAAATTTTAAAAGATTTACGAATGATTCCCGGACTGAGTGTACACATGATTCCCGGAGTGGGTAACCCCTCGAGAAAACCGCACCACTGGAAACTCGCCGCCCGGCCGCCGCAGCGCTCTGTTGTCGCTCTGACTCTCTCGCACTCCTGTGAAGTTCCACAGGAGTGCGAGAGAGACAGAGCGACCACGATAAACCGCTGTTCGGCGCGGAAATCAACGAAAGGGCGAAACCGGCAGGATGTGGTGTCCGCCACTCCGGCATCGACCGCGGCGGGGCCGGTAAGTGCCAGCAGACTGATTCCGAGAGTCGTTTTCGTCGCTCTGTCTCTCTCGCACTCGTGGGGTGTTCCGTATAGGTGCGAGAGAGACAGAGCGACGAATACGACTCTCGGAATCAGTGTGCAGGTGGGCATGGCGCGTCGGCTGCAGTCACGAACGAAGCGCTGATGCCGCCAATGCAGCGCCCGCCCCGCCACGCCACGCCCTGCCCCACCCTGCCACGCCATGGCCCAACCCACCACGCCCCGCCGCACGCCCCACCACGCCCCGCCACTACCGCTGCCACTGCAGTGTCAGTGCATGCGCCAAAGCCCAAGATGGATGGCATCCACACTACGTGACCGATTTTGTACAAAGGCCGTTCTCTCCTAGCCACTTCCCCCTCCTCCCCCCCTTCCCCTCACCTGACCTCCAACACGGCGTAATCGGAGCGCACCCTGCCACACTGCACCCACCTCACGCACCGAGGGCCGGCCGAAGGGGTAAGCGGATTCCCGACAGGGCTCTCGTCGCTCTGTCTCTCTCGCACTCACGCGGCGTCTCATATCGGTGCGAGAGAGACAGACTGACGGAAACGACTCTCGGAATCAGTCTGCTGGCACTTACGGGCACGGAGCGCCCCGAGGGAGACAGGGCACAGGTAGAACCTAAGCGAGATTTCGCGCCTTCCTTCAAGCGTTATTTCCTGTTCCGCCCCTCTCCCGCTTTCTTTCCTTCTCCGCTTTCCTTGAAGCATGAGGGCTTCAGTTTTACCAGTGTACAAACCTACGCTTGAAGACTGATTGAAGTCATGCATGGAGAAGAAAGTCTTCCGTGTGCATTTGGATAGGTAGGAGAAGGGCGGAACAGGAAATGGCTCGTCATTTCCTGGAAGCCGAGCGTGGCAACCAGCACGCTTGAAGAAAGGCGTTAAGCACGCTTACTCTGCAAACTGAAGTGTCGACATAGTACACTCCACCTGGAGTCAACCTTGCATGTACACTCCACCTGGAGTCAACCTTGCATGTACACTCAACCTGGAGTCAACCTGGCATGTACACCACACGCTGGAGTCAACCTGGCATGTACACTCCACCTGGCGTCAACCTGGCATGTACACTGTTGCTGAAGTCCCCTACCCTTCGCACGTAAAGCAGAGCAACAGTGAACTTGCCAGGTTGACACCAGGTAAAGTGTACATGCCAGATTGACTCCAGCGTGGAGTGTACATGCCAGGCTGACTCCAGCGTGGAGTGTACATGCTAGGTTGACTCCAGGTGGAGTGTTATATGTCGACACTTGAGTTTGTAGAGTAGGTGTTGCCAGTGCCCTGCTCTCGGGGCGAGAAAGGCGTGAAAGTACACTTGAGTTCCACTGGTGTCTCTCTCTCGCAGCCTCACGCAAGGCCCGCCCAACGAGTGCGAGGGAGGAAGAGAGACGGGGCGAGCTGCGAAAGTACCGTTCGGAACGATCGGAGTGACGACGACGACGAGGACGACGGCTTACCTGGAACAGGTAGGCGTCCCCGAAGGCGGTGCTGAGGCAGAAGATGTAGTCGCGCTTGGGGTGCTCCGGGATGGGCTGCATGATGGCGCCGTCCACGATGATGAGGTGCTTGGGCGCCGCCTCGACCGAGCGGCCCTCGCGACTGTCGCACGGGTAGAACAGCAGGGTGGTGCCCTTGAGGCACACCCAGTAGCCCTTCCAGCCGCGCTTGCGGGCCAGCTCGATCTGGTGCTTCTTCCGCAGCAGCCACTTCTTGACGCTCAGGAAGCTGCGGCACACAGACGGAAAACCGGAGGTCAGACATACATACAGACAGAAAACTGGAGGTCAGACAGACGGGGAGACGAAGGTCAGACGCATGCGCAAAAAACGCACCCAAAGTACAGAATAAAATATCGAGGGGTGCCCGACTCTAGTAATCGTGTGTACACTTCGTTCAGTATTCACTGGTATGTAATCACATGCCAAAACTAGATATTTTCAGTGTCTGGGTTTTTCTTTTTCAGAAAATAAGCAAATAAACAAATAGTTGACAGAAATGCTGTCAACCAGCTAAGATTATGATTTTTTTGGAATTTTCATTTTCATTTGATCATCAGCAATTGTGTGTTTGAGTTGAGTAGTTGGCCTCTCGTACACAGTGAACTTAGTACACATTTACAAGATAATATTAACAAGAACACATCTATTCAAATGTATACCTGCACTGAGAAAACTTTACAAACTATTTTGGGCCTTACAAAGAAACGTAGTTACAAAGAAAATACTTCGTAATTTACGAACAATTTCTTCGTACAACGAAGTATTTTAGTTTGTTATATGTATGCTCAAAATACTTCGTAAGGTTTTAAGAGTGTGCAAATTACACCTATTGCAGTGTACTTGGGGAAGTAAACATCCAGAAAAGAGTGCTTGGACCTGGACTATCAGTGTGTGATGCAATTGCAACGAGCTATGCCCATTCATTTGTTTAACTTGTCACCAATTTGTCACCAGCCTTTATCTCCCATTTGTGTTGCCAATTTGTTCTTACCCCTCTGGGAGCAAACACAATCCAATTGCACTAGCTAAATGTGTTTATTGTGTGTATTCGCTCAAAGTTCTGTTTTGTTAACTTTTGCCTGAATTATCAAGTTTCATTTTTATTTCCTGTTTTTGGCGCCGCATCAAAACTGCGACACGCAAAGCGGCTCCTGGGAACGGATGGCTGATGCTGAGAGACCAGCGGCACCAGGGAGGGGGCTGGATTGGATTTCCAAAGGGAGGGGGCGGCGGGCTAGAGGGGAGGAGGGAGGGGGAGAGGGGGGAGGGGAGGGGTTAGACGCGCCGACGCCAAGTTTCCAACTGACACGTTTTCCGTCTCGCCAGTTGGTAATTGGCAGGAACAGCGACTTCCCTTTATCCACACAGCGGCCGGCCGCACAACAGGGCCTGGTGCTTTGTGCTTGCTTCGGCTCGGTTGCCCGGCGAAGGTGGAGGAGGCGCCGCACACACTGCGATATCCCAGCCCCAGCAGCCCAGCGCTGGCTCGACACTTTCACTCGGAACGGGGAAAAAGGGGGCAAACATGTCAATGTGGGCGGACACCAACACTCTTCATTTCTCACAATGGCATTGCCATTGAATCCACATTGACATTGCCATTGAAGCCACATTGTCATTGCCATTGAATCCACATTGTCATTGCCATTGAATCCACAATGACATTGCCATTGAATCCACAATGATTGAATGAATGCATGAATGAACGAAACGGACGAACGAATGAGCGTCACAAGCATAATAAGAAGAGATGGTCCATCTTAACAATCTTTTCTCGATTTTCACTTCGATTCAAAGGAAAACATTGTAATACGAAGAAACGCTACGTTCGTAATGCGCCATCCTTTTAAGCACGAAGTAACCTTAAAATTTTGCCGCAGGACGGATACTTTTAAATTAAAAAAATAAGCCCGGGCGCTTTTGAAATTCTCTATATGCGATTTGGACTAGACTGTGCAAAGTAGCAGAATCCCTGATTTTACTTGCAGAAAAGGGTCGAGAATTTTTTTCCCGAAAAGTTGGGAAATTTATTTCAGAGGGTAAAGGCACTGGGACAGAAACAGTGACAATGGCACGGGATGAGACAAAAGGCCTCTCATTCGGATAATTTTGGCATACGCTCACAAATTAGCTCGATTGTTGGATTGTGATTGTTCCAGAAGGGCGACACACTTTTCTCGTACCTACAGGCGTTTTATTTTAATTATTTTTTCTTTATTCATGCAGGATTTTATTTTATTCCGGATTGTGTTCAGAGTTGGTATTTCATGTGTACATACACAGAAAAAAATTGATCAAGCGAGAGGTCCCTCGGCACAAGCGATGCGCAGTCATTTGAGAACGCATCTCTGAATGCATGATTGGCTGATTGTTTCAGTGTGCCACAGTTTTTTGTTTTTATAGCAGTCACTGTATTAATAAATTCCAGGCAGATATATCACATTTGAAAGCGCGGAAGAGTTAGCCGAGTCAAAACAAACCATACCATTCAGCGCGTGCCTGGCCCAGGCTTGTAGTTTTTTTTTCTCCCCATCGATAGAGCACTTTGGATGGAATTATCGGAAAAACAAAGTTCGAGGAAAGCGCAATCCAATCTATGACGAACCCGAGGAAGATATCCGCAAATAATGAAATCGTGTCTGAGCGCGTGGGTGAGAGTGCGTGCGCGTGCACACTGAAGAGATAAATTGGAAATCAACAAAGGCACTTCAGGAAAACTCGCCAAAGGTTCCTTTTTAAATTTCAGGAGATTTTTTAGTCGACCAGCAGAGAACCTTCGGGGAATTACGAAGAATCTTTGTAAATTTGCGAAGAATTTTTGTGAGTGCTTCTGCTCTTACAAGTAATTTTCGGCAACATTTCTTTAGCGGTGGTACCTTTTTAAATTCTGGAGATTCGCGCTTACAGTGTATGCTTACGTGTGAGCACAAGAACAATGCAGGTGGAGTGCCACCGCATGCCCCACGCAACGAGAGGCGCTTTGAATTAAATCCGCCAGTTCGTGTGTATAAAGTCGGCAGATCGAGCGGAAGGGGCCCCGCCCCGCCCCGCCCTGCCCCGCCGCACGCGGAGCGGAGCAGTGCGGAGCGAGGAAGAAAAGAGATGTACCGAGTGCGGGCGGTGTGGGCCGGGCCGCCAGGCCGCCAGGCCCGACGCGCCGAGGGGCGAACTTTAGTGTGAGGGAGTGGGGGTGGGGCGCCGTCCAGGCAGTGGGGGGCCGGGGGCAGTCTGGGGGCGGGGGCAGGCCGGGGCGGACCGGGGGCCGGGGGCGGACCAGGGGGCCAGGGGAGAGGGGCCTGGGGTGGAGAGGAGATAATCAATGGGATGGCGCCCCACCCCCTCGCGTACCCTGTGCAGCCCGCCCGCTGCCGCCGCGCTCCAGCCCGCCTGAGGTCGCTCCAGTACCGTTCCAGGGCCGCGCCCCGCCTCGCCACACCCCGCCCCGCCACGCCCCGCCCCGCCCCGCCACGCCACCAGCGCCAGCCCACCCCCGCCGCCGTTGCGAACCGCCCGTCCCTCTCGCCGAGCCAGGCAGCCTCCACCTCGGGGCCAGCAGCAGCCTGATTCCGAGAGTCGTTTTCGTCGCCACGTCTCTCTCGCACTCGTGCGGCGTCCCGCGTGGGTGCGAGAGAGACAGAGCGACGGGCATCGGGCGGCCGGGCCTGGCTGCCAGGGCAACGCAGCGCGCAGCACACCTCCTGCTGCTCGGGCTGGCCCTCGGGCTGGCCCTCGGCCTGCTGGCCCCGCCAGTGGGGGTCCCAGCCAGTCGCAGCCCCGCCACCGTGCCCCGCCACCGTGCCCGCACTGCATGGTCGCCACATTCCAGGGGCGGGGGAAGGGGGGGGGGGGTTCCTCGCGGCGCCCCGCAGGCACTGCCAGGCAGGCCGTGGTGTTGTCCGACCCCCGCGGCCCCGCGGCGCTGTAGCCTGATTCCGCACAGCGGTTTTGCCGCGGCGTCTCTCTCGCTCTCACGCGCCGTCCCCCGCGCCGCGCAGGTGCGAGAGAGACGGAGGGATGGGCGGAATCGGTCGTCGGCTGCTGCCACATTGGCGAGTCCTTTCCGCAACCCGCATGTTGACTTGGTGGCGGGACAGCTGACTGATTCCGAGAGTCGTTTTCGTCGCTCTGTCTCTCTCGCACTCGTCAAGGCGTTCCGCATGGCTGCGAGGGAGAGAGACAGAGCGACGAAAACGACTCAGTCCCGCGGGTCCGGGACGGACGGTGCCTGTCTCGTCGCCGACCCGCCTGTCCGCGGCCCCGTGGCGACCCTCGGCCCGCCTCTCTCTCTCTCTCTCTCTCTCTCTCTCTCTCTCTCTCTCTCTCTCACCCCCTCCCCACAGCGCACCGCAGCGTCCAGCCGGAACTTTGCGGACTCCACTCCTGATCCCGCCGGACCGTTTGGCGGTTGGGGGAGCGTCCATGAATTACGCGAGTTGAATTTCGCGGAGGTGCTTGCTGCGCCCCCCCCCCCTCCTTAGCCTCCTTCGCACACAATTTATGGGAGGGGTCCTCAAGTCTTCAGGAAAATAGCTCTTCTCGCAAACTGCGCAGGTGAAGCACCTTAAGCCGCGCCAAATTCCAACTTTGAAGGTGTCCATTCATCCCGGGCGGTAAAGAGTGACAAACGCTCGGATCAACACAAAACCGTGGGACACAGTACAACAAATCCTATTTTGTAACTTTTTTTTCACGCGGAAAAAAAATTTTGCAAGGAAAAAGCATTTTATCTTATTTTGCCTGTGATTCGCTTGATTCTAGCCAAAATAAATTTAGCATTCGTTTCAACATGACTGCGCTATTTCGTGACTCTCTCTCAACTGCCGTTTCCCCAGAGATTTCTTTCGGCTTCAAACAAGCGCACACGATGTCAAGAGAATTTCGGGGCCCCTTCGTGAAAATGCATGTTTTGCCACCACTGACATAATATTTGTTGTACCCGATGAAGTCTGGCATGGAGCGCTCTGTCGAGTGTATTGCCAATTCACTCTATTTGGCCGACGCTCGACCTTATTTGCTGTCCACTCTGCGCGACTCTATCATATCCATGCCGACAGTCAACACGCTAGGACGAGAGTGAACGAGAGATTGAACGAGAGAGTGAACGAGAGAGAGAGAGTGGACGAGAGAGTGGACGAAAGAGTGAACGAAAGAGTGAACGAGAGAGTGAACGAGAGAGTGGACAGTGTGAACGACAGTGTGAACGATAGAGTGAACGAAAGAGTGAACGAAAGAGTGAACGACAGTGTGAACGAGAGAGTGGACGACAGAGTGAACGAAAGTGTGAATCAGAGACAACGAGGGAGGGAGAATAAAAGGGGGGGGAAAGGGGGGGAGAGAGAGAGAGAGAGAGAGAGAGAGAGTGAGAGAGAACGAGAGTGTACGTCGATCGCAGACGCCCCCGGGCGTCCCGGTGGTCCCGGTGGCCCACTCCACTCCACACGCCACAGGCCGCGGCATGCAGAGCCAGAGGGTTGACCCATGTTGCTTCGACATGCCGCATAATCCAACCGCGTTCCTTGTCCGTGGCACGGCGCGGCACGGAGCGGCACGCCCTCCCCCTACTTGTCCATCTCGCGCGCCAGACGGCCGGGTTCAAGTCCCCCTCCCCCTTTTCCCGTCCCCTCCCCCTTCTCTTTGCACTCACTTCCCATTCTCTCTCTCTCTCTCTCTCTCTCTCTCTCTCTCTCTCTCTCTCTCTCTCAGGACCTTTCGAGCCTCGCTTCTTTGTCCCGCGACTTTTGTTGCTGCCGCGGCTCCACCGTGCCGCCCGTGTCTCTCCCGGGTCCCGGGTCGCCGTTACGTACCGCTCACTCTGTTCCGAGGAGAAGGAGGACCCGCCTCCAAAAAAGCGTTAAAACAGATTGCAGTTTCTTCCGTTTCTTTCCGTTGTTTTTGCTTTTATGAGGGACTTTGGCGTTGCTCTGCAATCGCACTAGTAATGCAGGCTTCCTATCTCCGTCTCGCTCGGGCCGACCCACCGACTTGCACTCCTGAGATTGCGCGGGCTTCGGCGGGCTTCTCGAGCAGGGCCCGCGGGCAGGCTCGGATCTACTCAGAGCCCCCAACCCCACCTCTCTCTCTCCTCTCCCCTCTCTCTCTCTCTCTCTCTCCC